GCAGACCCAACCGGGGCTGAAACCCCATGTCAGTGGACCAGACAATATCCGTCGATCCCATTACGCTGGAGATAGTTCGCGGCGCTGTAAGCTCCATCATCCGTCAGATGGAGGCCTTATCGAGCGCACAGCAATGTCGCCTGTCATAAAGGAAAAGATGGACTACTTCGTTGGCGTCTACGACCTAGAGGGCCGCGTCGTCGATGGATTTCTGTCTACTTCAGGGCCCCGAATCGTGGATCCGGTGCTCCGTGACTACCCGATGGAGGATATGCAACCCGGCGACCTCTACTGGTACAACGATCCGCATCGGTCCAAGGGTGCTATCCAGCACACTGGGGATATGTGCTTTACCTCGCCTGTGTTTCACGAGGAGAAGCTCGTCGCATTCGCGGTCAGTTACGGCCACTTCTGGGATATCGGCGGGAGCGTTGCTGGCAGCCTCTCCCCGCACGCCACTGAGATATTTCATGAGGGCATGCTGGTGCCTCCCATCAGGATCATGCGCTCAGGTGAGATCAATCGGGAGGCGTACGCCGTCATCCTCAATAACAGCCGGTTCCCGGAAATGCTTGAAGGCGACACCCGCGCGCTTATGGCCGCCTGTCGCCTCGCCGAAGACCGTCTCGCCGAGCTTATGGACCGATATGGCCAGCGCACAATACTCGAGGCGTTCGACCAGATAGTGCAGCGCAGCATAGACGCGTATCGCGAGTTCGCTCGCGAGGTTATTCCAGAAGGCGAGCACCATTTCTTCGATTACGTAGATCGCGACCCAGTTGATGACCAGCCGAGGCTCGTGGACGTCAAGCTCCTGCACCAGGATGGCAGGCTTGTCGCCGATCTGACCGACAGCGGGCCGCAGGCGAAAGGGCCTGTCAACTTCATTACCAGCCCTGGGGCGTTCAACCTGATCCTGGCCCGTCATCTCAGTTACATGAAGCCGGGCCTTCCGCTGAACGAGGGCGCAGTCGCGTTTCTCGATGAAGTTCGCACCGAGCCCGGGACGATCACTTATCCCAACTTTCCCGCACCTGTCGGGCTCAGGAGTCACACTGTAATTAGGCTTATGGACATCATGGGCGGTTTGCTCGCCCAAGCCAATGGCGGACAGGGACCGGCTGCGTCACCCGTTTACGTGATCTACAACCTTCGTGCCGTCAAGGAAGATGGACGATATCTGTACTTCAGCGAAGGTATCGGCTCAGGTCAGGGCGCACGCCCAACCGGTGACGGTCTGAACGTGATCTACTTCCGAGATCAGCGAAACTACCCGATCGAGTTCGAAGAGGGCGAGTTCCCGCTCCGAATCGAGCAGTATGCGATCAGACCGGACTCAGGAGGCCCTGGTTTTTACCGTGGAGGATGCGGCGTGGTACGAGATGTCCGTGTCCTTGTGGATTGCACGATGAGTACCCGCATGGACAACGTCCGATTTCCGTGCTTCGGGTTGAACGGGGGCCGTGCCGGACAGCCCGGTCGTTTCGTGCTTAACCCGGGCACTCCCGATGAAAGGGAGGTCTCACCGGCCGGTGAGGGCATTCAGGTCAGAACTGGAGATCTACTGAGGGCGGAGACAGGCGGAGGAGGAGGCTGGGGACATCCGTTTGATCGCGATCCTCAAGACGTGGCGAGAGACGTGCTGGAAGGCTTTGTGTCGAGGCAGTCTGCCGAGGTGGACTACGGAGTAGTACTTAGCGACAACATCGGAATAGACTCAGAAGCTACTGAGGCACTCCGTTCCTCGACCAGACCTGAAATCCTCGCCGTCGACAGAGGTCCACACGCCGCAGAGTGGCTCGCCCAACTCTAAGGCGCAGAGAGTTGCGGTCAGATAAGTTCATGGCTATAACTGACGTGGCGTCCTGTTGCTGTCAGACCCTCTTGCAAGTTGACACAAGCTCCCTCGATTCTTACTATGAAATCGACTTGATGAGCCGTCGTTAGCATCAAACCGAAATGGTGGTCGAAGCGGCATATGCAAGCTCAAACTACCATCCTGCCACAGACTTCAGCGACCAAATACGAGGTTCGCGAGTTCCGCGACGTTTCCTATAGGACATATAGAGCCGAGCTCCGAATACTCCGGCTGCAACTGCTACTCCTCCAGGAGTGGGTCGTCGAACAGGGCAAGCGAGTTGCGATTGTACTCGAGGGTCGTGACGCTGCCGGTAAGGGATCGACTGCTTCTGGGATAACCCACTACCTCAATCCTAAGTTCGCCAATATAGTCGAGCAGGGAATACCGACAGCCAAGCAGATGCGTAACTGGCTTGGGACCCACTACAACCAGCTGCCGGTCGGCGGGAACATTACAGTCTTCGACAGGTCATGGTACTCTCGCGCCCTTATCCAGCACGGTCATGGGCTATTGCACCTTGAGGCAGTACAACTACTTCATGAACCGCGTCAACGATTGGGAGCGCGGCATAGTCGATGAAGGTGTACATCTACTCAAGATCTATCTCTCGGTCTCGCGAGAAGCTCAGGATCTCAGGTTCAAGCACCGGCAGAATAGCGAGCTCCAGTACTGGAAGTACTCGTCCACTGACCGGATGGCGGCCGAGCGCTGGCACATGCTCACATACTTCAAAGACCGTATGTTTGCGGTGACCCTCCACAGACTACGCACCTTGGATCGTCATCGAGTCCGACAACAAGCACCAGGCCAGGCTGAACGTTTTTCACTACATACTCAACCACTTCGAATACGACGGCAAAAACCTCAGCCTTGAGTCAATAGAACCGCACACCAACGGGCGTTACCTTACCGACATGATCGTGGACGGCGTCCTGTTCAAGGACATGGATCCGGACCAGGTCGAAGTTCTAGAACGGATTCTCATGCATGAATAGCAGCAATGTCCCGCAGATGGAGGCCGCTGGTGGGCTTGCGCTCTGCGGCGGCCATGTACTATTAATTAGAAAGCACGGATTGTGGGATATCCCGAAGGGCAAGGTCAAGAAGAAGGAACCTCACGAGCGCAGCGCACTCAGGGAGATCTCCGAAGAGACCGGCCTGGGTAGAAAGAAGTTGAGAATCAGGAGCCTTCTCTGTCGTACCAGCTACATCTCTTACTACTCGGGTAAGCCATTCAACAAGACCGTAAGCTGGTTCCTGCTCGACTACACTGGCGAGATTGCCGACCCGCTTAGCCCAGACCTCTCGGAGGACATAGACCTGTGCGAGTGGGTAGCAATCGACGAACTGCTCGATAAAATAGATGCTGGTCGTCGGTACCTGCGGTCCCTGAGACACACGGTCTCCGAGTCCCTTCATCTCCTGCGCCAGGCGCCTTTGGAGCATAGAGTAGAGTACGCCGCCTCATGAAGATCACCGACGTACGCACCATCCCTATGTCGGACCCTGTCCCCGCGTGAGCGTCAGCATCGGACCGATTTTGGGACCAAGGTCAAGAGTGATGCGGTGCTCATACTTGTTGAAACGGACGACGGCCTGACGGGAATGGGCGCATCGCTCGGAAGTCCCGAGACCGTGTCGGCCATCGTCAAATACGATCTTGCTCCTACCCTCCTTGGCGGGGATCCAATGTACTCAGAATTACTCTGGGAGAAGATGTACAACGGGTCGCGCTGGAAACCCGCCCTTGAGCGAGGCCACTCACAGCCCTCCGAGGCCAGGCGTGGCGTTACTCTGGAGGCCATTGCGTGGCTCGACATTGCAATCTGGGACGTTAAGTCTCAAGCGTTCGGCGTGCCTGTGTACCAGGCCCTTGGCCCCGTCCGAGATTCTATTCGAGGCTACGGCTCAGGTGTGCTCTTTGCCGCCAGCATTCACATGGTGATGTCGGCCCCGAACTGTCACATACTCGAAGTGAGCCAGGGCTATATGCCGACGATGAACGAGTCGTTCAATGAGCCCTACGATATCCGCGACGGCACTGTGCACGCCCCTCGAACTCCCGGTCTCGGATTCACCCTTCGCGATGACGTATTCGACCGCTTCGAGTACGTTCAAGGCCCCGAGTTCGTCTTCTGACGGTCGGTATCCTGCGGACGACATGCCCCGCTCCACCAATCTAGTCCCGGTTGCATGAACCAGCCAGAGGCCCAATGTTCTGATGCCTCGCCTGCGTCTTCCGCCAGTTCCTGTTTTCATTGCAATGACAGTCATGGCCGAAATGGCGTTCGTGACATACGCTACTATGTCTGCGGTCTACCTAATCACTGTGGCCGACCTTGACCCATTTCAGCTAATCCTTGTCGGTACTGTCTGAGAGCTGGCCGTGTTTTTGGGCGAAGTGCCCACTGGTGTAATTGCGGACGTGTACAGTCGGCAAGTTTCGATAATCCTCGGTTTTGCCCTTGTAGGTGTCGGCTTCATTCTCGAAGGGGCAGTGCCCGTCTTCGCGTCCATTCTGCTCGCGCAGGTCGTGTGGGGAATCGGATTTACCTTCACCAGCGGAGCCACTCAAGCATGGCTGGCCGACGAGCTCCGCGATGACTCAGAGACAGCCAAGGTCTTCGTCAGGTCGGCTAAGTATGAGTCGATCGGTGCTCTTGTCGGAAGCGGCGTCAGCGTAGCGCTCGCGACCATCTATGTCGGTCTGTCAATGATTGTTGGTGGGGCAATATTTGTCCTGCTGGCTCTGTTTCTGTTAATCACAATGTCGAGAAAGGGTTCAAACACAGACCGACCAGCGAGCGCGGAAACTTTCGGTCAATGGTTAACGTGTTCGGAACGGGCCTACGCGCGGTGTCTCTCAATCGCTTGCTTATGGCCCTGGTGGCAATCGAGCTCTTCTTCGGTATGTCCAGCGAGCCATTCGAAAGGCTATGGGCGAAACACGCATTGGAGACCTTCGAGTTCCCCGCGATTATTGGGTTGGATCCGATCGCCTGGTTCGGCGTCGTTCAACCTGCGGCGTCGCTCGGCGCTCTGGTTGCCATTGCCGCGATAGAGAAGATACTGCCGGTTGAGCGTTCCTGGGCCCCTCGGGTGATTCTGTCGGTTGCCAACGCAGTGATGATCGCGGTCACGGCCACTTTCGCCCTGGCCGGTGAATTTGGGATCGCTTTCGGTATGGTTGTAGTTGTCTACATCCTGCACAGGGTCGCCGGGCCCTTCACGGCGTCTTGGATCAATCGCAACTGCGAGTCCGAGTATCGTGCAACGGTGTTCTCTCTGTACGAACAGGCGAACTCGTTCGGCCAGGTGGTCTTCGGTCCGGGTATGGGCCTGCTGGCAACCACTCGAGGGCTGCGCACCGCGCTGATCGGTGTATCAACTCTCCTGGTGCCGCCTCAGCTTCTCTACCTCGTGAGAGAACCGTCCACAGTAACTGAACGTCAGCCAGAAGTTTGAACTTTGTTCCGACACTTTTTGGGAACCAATCAATACAGCTGCAGCGGGACTCGCGACGCACTTGGCAAAGCTGCCGATACTTGCCTATCACATGCAACTAGGGTAGAGTATCGCTTGAAATCTGGGACTTTTGCGAGGCGTGTCGAAGTGCCAGAGTCGCAACACCTGACACGCTAATATCCCAGGATTAAAGCTCCACAGAATTTCGGCCCAAGCACTCGAAAAACAGGAGGCCAGACGTGACCACACAGTCAGTGCTCGGCGAAAGCATCAAGCGTCGCGAAGATCCAAGACTCATCACAGGTAGGGGAACCTATGTTGACGATGTCCGCTTGGTCGGAATGCTCAACATGGTTCTGGTTAGAAGCCCTCACGCGCATGCAAACATCAGGAGTGTCGACACATCCGCTGCTGAGTCAGCCGACGGCGTCGTTGCCGTATACACTGGCCAGCAGCTCGCTGACGAACTCGGTTCACTAATCTGTGGCTGGGTGGTTCCAGACACCAAGGAAGTCCCGCACCCACCGTTGGCAGTCGACAAGGTCCGATGTGTAGGCGATGCCGTTGCCGCGATCGCGGCCACCAGTCCTCAGGCCGCAGCGGATGCTGCTACGCTGGTTCAGGTCGACTACGAAGTTCTCGATGCAGTCGTCGATATGGAAGCCGGCGTGCAGGACGGCGTGGCTCAGATACATGACGATGCGCCCAACAACATCGCGTTCGAGTGGGAAGTTGGCGGAGGCGACTTCGATGCTGCGGGCTCCGCTGCGGATGTCCGTGTTTCCGAGAGAATTGTCAACCAGCGCCTGATTCCCAATGCTATGGAGCCACGCGGCGTAGTGGCGGACTTCAATCCCGGTACCAACCATCTGACTGTTTGGACGTCTACCCAGATACCGCACCTTGTGCGATTACTACTTGCGCTGGTCACGGGGCACCCTGAGCATCAGATTCGCGTGATTGCACCTGACGTCGGCGGAGGATTCGGCTGCAAGTTGTATCTCTACGCCGAAGAAGTGATCGCCTCAGCGCTCGCCAAGCGCCTCGGCCGCCCCGTCAAGTGGATCGAGGGCAGGCAAGAGAACTACCTGGCTACCACACACGGTAGGGACCATGTAGGCGATGTTGAGATTGTCGGAGACTCAGACGGCAACGTTACCGGACTTCGCACGGACCTTTATGCCAACATGGGCGCATATCTCTCCACCTTCGCCCCTGCCATCCCGACCTATCTGTTCGGGTTGATGCTTGGTGGCCCGTACAATATTGACAACGTCCAGTGCAAAGTCACTGGCGTGTACACGACAACCACGCCAGTGGACGCTTATCGTGGCGCCGGTCGCCCAGAAGCCACCTATCTTGTCGAGAGGATGATAGACCGGTACGCGGCTGAGATCGGCATGGATCCGGCAGAGGTAAGGCGCAAGAATCTGATAGCTCCGTTCGAGGATGGCCACGAGGTCGCCACCTCGGTCGTCTATGATAGCGGCAACTACGAGGTGGCCCTTGACCGCGCGTTGGAGCTCGTCGAATATGACGACTTCCGAGCCCAGCAGGCAGTGGCTCGCGACGAAGGACGTTACCTCGGAATTGGGTTGTCCACGTATGTTGAGATCTGTGGAATGGCGCCGTCTGCGGTAGCGTACACTCTCGGCGCCAGAGCCGGAGTTTGGGAGAGCGCGCTTGTTAGAGTCCATCCCACGGGTAAGGTCACTGTCTTCACCGGATCGTCCGGACATGGCCAGGGCCACGATACGACCTTTGCCCAACTCGCGGCTGCTGAGCTTGGAGTCGCGATCGAGGATGTGGAGGTCGTACACGGCGATACCGACAAGGTTCAGATGGGAACTGGCACTTTCGGTTCCCGCAGCGCAGTGTGCGGCGGCAATGCGATCCACATGAGCATCGAGAAGATACAGGACAAGGCCAAGCGAATCGCTGCCAACCTGCTGGAGGCGGCCCCCGAGGACGTCGTTGCCGAGAACGGTCAGTACTTTTCGTCCAGGGCGCGCCCGCAAACGCCAAGACCTTCCAGGAAGTCGCACTCGCCGCCTACTGGTACGAGAGCCTTCCCGAGGGCACCGAGCCAGGCCTTGAGGCCGTCAGCATCTTCGACCCGCAGAATTTCACGTGGCCGTTCGGCACCCACATAGCGGTTGTCGAAGTCGATGGCGACACCGGAGAGGTTGAGCTTCAGAAGTACGTCGCGATTGACGATGTCGGCAATGTCATCAACCCGATGATAGTCGAGGTATGGTCCACGGCGGCGTGGTGCAGGGCGTCGGTCAGGCACTAACGGAAGAGGCTGTGTACGACGAGTCCGGCCAGCTCATCACTGGCAGCATGATGGACTACGCTATCCCGACTGCCGAGAGCGTGCCGTTCATCATCACCGACCGCACGACGACGCCGTCGCCGACCAACCCTCTCGGCGTGAAGGGCGCCGGCGAAACCGGTACTATTGCGGCAGTCCCCGGCTGTCATGAACGCGGTAATTGACGCGCTTCACACCTTTCGGAATCAAGCACATGAACATGCCTGCCAAGTCCGAAAAAGTCTGGCGCGCCATGCAAGGATAAGTTAGCTCAGCGATACTAGCCAAGTTAGCACTCAGGCCGCCCCGACCGCAGTCGGGGCGGTGTTCTTGAGAGGCCCAAACTGAACGAGCCCGATCCTATTAGAGAAATCGTCCGCGAGCTGGGGTCCCGAGACTACATTGCGGATCCTGCCATCGCCACTTCGATCTACATGGCCCAGCAACTTGGACGGCCACTCCTGATTGAGGGCCGCGCAGGCGTCGGTAAGACTGAGATCGCCAACGTAATGGCGCAGCTCATGGACACTCGCCTGATTCGCCTTCAGTGCTATGAGGGTCTTGACGTTACCACCGCGCTCTATGAGTGGAACTACTCAAAGCAACTCCTGTGGATTAGGCTCGATGAAGGAAGCGGACGTTCCTCAGAGCAGCGCGAGGAGCAGATATTCAGCCGTGATTTCTTGCTGGAGAGACCGCTGCTGTCGGCGTTGACACAGCCTGACGGACCTCCGGTACTTCTCATTGACGAGGTGGACCGAGCGGACGAGGAGTTCGAGGCGTTCCTTCTCGAGATCCTCTCAGAGTTCCAGGTAACGATTCCAGAGATCGGAACGATAACTGCCGAGCACCGACCTCTTGTCATCCTGACGTCAAACCGCACCCGTGACCTTTCGGATGCCTTGCGCCGCCGGTGCCTGTACCTCTGGATCGATTACCCTGACCTTGAAAAAGAACTGCGCATCGTGCGCCGAAAGGTGGACGGAATCTCTGAGAAACTAGCCCGCCAGGTGTGCCAATTCGTTGAGAACGCACGTGAGTCCGGCCTCGACAAGGTTCCCGGAATCTCTGAGACCTTGGACTGGGCCAAGGCCATGGTGATTCTTCACTACGATCACCTTGACCGAGACTCAGTCAGGCAGACATTGGGCGCTCTCGTCAAGGACGTCGACGACCTCGACCGCTTCCGCGAAGAGGCCATCGACAGAATCATTGCCTTAGTCGGCGACTGAACCACTGAAATCCCAACCAGACTCCGATCGTACTCTCCTCAGAGCGAGCTAAGTTGCATGGCTCATCGGCCTGTATTACGCTTGAGCAAACTAAAATGCGATGCATCTTAACCACCGGGAGGCTCAAATGAGCATCACACTGCAAGAAGCCCAGACAATGGTCGCTGCGGCGATTGCCAAGGCAGAGGAGCTAGACATCAAGATAAACGTGGCAGTCTGCGACGCAGGTGGAAGACTCGTCGCATTCGCCAGGATGGACGGCGCGATCTGGGCCGGAGTCTACGGCAGCCAGGGGAAGGCGGTCGCTTCTGTTGCATTCGGCAGACCTAGCGGAGAAATGCAGGAAAGAGCCGGAAGCCCGATTGTTACTGGCATTCGCTCAGCGGAAGGCGACCACATGATTGCGAGCCTGGGCGGAGTCCCTCTCATCAGGGATGGTGCCCCTGTTGGCGCCTGTGGCGTCGGAGGAGGCACGGGCGAAGAAGACGAAGAGTGCGCGCAGGCCGCGGTCGACTCGGTTTCCTGAATTCGATTAACGCTATACACCAGAACCTTGGAGAACTCCTATGCCTCAAATGACCGGAAAGCGCGCCCTGATGGAGATGTTGAGAGCGGAAGGTGTCAGGTACATTTTCGGCAATCCGGGCACCAGCGAGGGTGCCATCCTGGACGAGTTGGAGGGATATCCAGACTTTGAGTACATTCTGACAACCCAAGAGGGAGCGGCGATGGGAATGGCCGATGCTTACGCTCGCTCCACCCAGCAACCGTCCTTCGTGAACCTCCATATTGAGACTGGCCTCGCCAATGCGATCAGCCTTCTCCACAACGCGAAAGAGGGTGGCACACCTATGGTGGTCACCAGCGCCAACAAGGACATCCGCAAGCTTGCGGAGGGCCGGACCCAACTCGACGAAATGACCAGGCTGTTTACCAAGTGGAGCGCCGAGGTCACACATCCAGAACAGATACCCTCGGTCATCCGGCGTGCCTTTACCGAGGCCAAAACACCGCCGACAGGCCCAGTTTACGTCGGTTTTTCGGCAAACGCGCTCGACGACGAAGGGGAAATCGAGATAGTCCCGTCGCCGCCGGGATACTTCAGGATGGCTCCCGATGCGCAAGCGATCGCAGACGCAAGCGCCATGCTGGCAGGCGCCAGCAACCCCGTGATGATCGTCGGAGATCGTCTCGCACAGTCTGGTGGGATATACGAGGCGGTACGTGTAGCAGAACTCCTCGGCGCCAGGGTATATTCATCCGCTTACTCCGAGATGAACTTCCCGACAGCTCATCCTCAGTTCATGGGCCGCTCCGCTCCGGTCTCTCCTGCGGGAAGAGATCTCTTTGCCGACGCTGATGCCGTTCTGGCTGTCGGGACCAACGTGTTCAGCGGCTTTTTCCACTTCCCGGGACGGGCGCTCGGACCTGACACCAAGCTCATCCACATCGATCAGGCATCCAGGGAGATCGGCAAGAGCGAACCCACCGACATTGGCATTATCGCCGACCCCAAGGTTGGACTCGCTCACCTCGCGGATGCGCTTGACTCGGATCTCACCGGAGCGCACAGGGAGGCCGCTAAGGGACGCGCGGCCAATCTCGCTGAAGCCAAAGCAGCTCAGAATGCCGCAACGGAAGCCCGCCTCAAGGAGCGCTGGGACCTCAGTCCAATGTCCACCGAGCGGATGATGCACGAAGTCGCCCAGGTGCTTCCGCCCGACACGTTGATCGCCGATGACTCAGTAACTACCCGCGATGCAATCCATTCTGCCGTCAGTTTCGACACGCCCGGCACGGTATTCGGGGAAAGGGGAGGAGCGCTAGGCTGGGGCATGGGTGGCACCCTGGGCCTCAAGCTGGCCAATCCGGATCGTCCCGTAGTCGGGATCATCGGAGATGGCAGTTCCATGATGACCGTACAGGCTCTCTGGACGGCGGCGGCCTATAAGATTCCAGTGGTGTACATCATTTGCAACAACCGCGCCTATCGCATACTGAAGCTCAACATGAATGTCTATAAGCGAGACATCCTCGGCGAGGCTGATCCACAGAGCAAGTATCTCGCGATGGACTTCCCGTTACCCTTCAATATTGCTGGCATTGCTGAGGCTATGGGAATGCACGGTCGGAGCATCACGGATCCGTCCGATATTGGACCGGCTCTGAAGGACGCGCTTGACTCCGGCCGACCGGCCGTCCTCGACATCTCAATAGACGGCTCTGTTGCTTGACCCTAATAGGCCGACAACGTATAGTACGCGGCGAATCATGAGGCCTGTGTCGCGTACTTACTGGGTTCCTGCCCAGCTATCCCGCGCATCGGAGGAAAGAGCATGGCATACGGTTCCGGGGACTTTCAATACGAACTGGTAGAGGACTGGGGAGACCTGCCCGAAGGTTACGAGTGGCACCAGGTTGCGGGCGTGGCTGTGGACAGCAACGACAATGTGTATGCGTTCAACCGCAGCTCGCACCAGATGATGGTTTTCGACCGTGAGGGAGCGTTCCTCAGCACCTGGGACGAAACATTCGCTGGGCCGCATGGCATCCACATCGGCCCGGACGACAGCATATACCTCGCTGACCGCGACGCACATGTAGTCTCCAAGTACTCACTGGACGGAGAACTGCTTCTGAGGATTGGCACAGGCCAGCCTTCGGAGACAGGTTACACGACCAACGCTGAACCTGTTCCAAGAGCAGGCGGACCGTTCAACCTTCCAACTGGCATCGCTGTCACTGAAGAGGGAGATATTTTCATCTCGGACGGCTACGGCAACAGCCGAGTACACCGGTACGACTCTACTGGCTCCCTGATCCTGTCATGGGGTCTGCCGGGCAAGGTTAACCCTGGAGACTTCCACCTACCGCATGGCATCGGACTTGACCACGATGGCTACGTCCTAGTCTGCGACCGTGAGAACGACCGCATTCAGGTCTTCGACCAAGAGGGCGAGTTCGAGGAGCTATTCACTGGCTTCCGTCAGCCCACTGATCTGCACGTCGGCCCCGAAGGCGAGATTTACGTTCCAGAGCTGCAGGGCAGGGTGACGATAATCGACAACGAGGGCAATACTCTCGCGCAGTGGGGCGGAGACCGCTCGCACGAAGCAGGTCTGTTCTGGGCTCCTCACGGCGTCGCAGTCGATTCCCACGGTGACCTCTATATCGGCGAAGTACTCGAAGGCCAGCGCCTCCAGAAGTTCACTCGCGTCCGGTAGCCATGGAGTCTGGACTCTTCGCAATTGTCGGCCTTGTCATCGGCCTGCTTGTTGGCGGACTTTTGGCCTGGCTGGTGCTTCGAATGCGTTCAGCTGATTCCATATCTCGATTGGAAAGAGAAGCCAGTCTTGCCGCGACTCTTAGAGATGAGCGCGACTCACTGCGTGACCAGAGAGACGAGGCCAACCGCGAGTTGGCCGCCGCTCGCGCGAACCTGGAGTCGATCAGCGCGTTGAACGCGACCAATGCCGAGGCTCTCGAAAAGTCCCGCGCGGCGGTCCAACACGCTGGGGAGTCTGTTGCATCTCTCCAGCAGCAGTTGCGTGAAGCAAATCGCCGCCTCGAAGAGCAGGGCGACATCGAAAAGACCCTCACCGACCAGTTCAAGGTCTTGGCGACCGAGGTGATCGACAGCAACAATGAGAAGTTTCTCAGCGCGGCCGATGAGAAGGTGGGAAACCTTGTTCAGCAGGCCAGGAAAGACTTTAGCCTCAGCAAGGAGGCCGTAAGTGATCTCGTCAAGCCGCTCTCAGACGAGCTAAAGCGGATCGAGACCGCGAGAACCGATTCACATGGGAGTCTCAGGCAGCAGCTGGAGACACTGGCAAACAACAACAAGGCGCTGGAACAGGAGACCCGGAATCTAACCACGGCGCTCAAGCGCCCGGAGGTGCGGGGCAGTTGGGGCGAGGTCCAGCTAAGACGCGTGGCCGAGTTGGCCGGGATGACCAATTACTGCGACTACGAGGAGCAGGTCAGCATCCAGTCTGGCGATGGAAGTACTGATCGCCCCGACATGGTTGTACGGATGCCCAGCAACCGCACCATAGTTGTGGATGCCAAGACTCCAATGGACGCCTACCTGAGATCAATTGAGTCCGATAGCGATGATGAGCGCGAAACTCAACTGGCTCGCCATGCCGACCAAGTGAAGGCCCGGGCTACGTCACTTTCACGAAAGGCATACTGGGACGCGCTCGACCGGTCCCCGGAGTTTGTGGTCATGTTCTTGCCTGGGGAGTTCCTGCTTCAGCCGGCACTCGAACGCGACCCCGACCTGTTTGACCGCTCTATGCAGCAGAGAGTGATTATCGCGACTCCCAATACACTTATGGCGCTGCTCAAGACGGTTGAAATGGGCTGGAAAGAGGCGCAGCTCGCCGAACACGCCGTTGAGGTACAAAAGATCGGCCAAGAACTGCATGATCGGCTTGCCGTATTTGCAGGACATGTCGCCAAGATCGGGAGTTCCCTGCGTGGGGCCGTCAGGAGCTACAACAGTGCCGTGGGCTCTTTTGATAGCCGTGTGGCCGTATCTGCGCGCCGGTTCAAGGAACTTGGCGTTCCCACAACTGAAGAGCTAGAAGAGCTTGACCAAATTGACATTGATGTCCGAGAGATCAGCGCCCGGAATTTCAACGATGAGCAACTTGCGCTGACAACAGGAGTTACTGAAGACGAACACTGACGAGCAGCAGCAATTCATCAATAGCAACCAACAAACGACCACCTACCAGGAGTACTTCATATGAACGGAGACCAGGCAGTAGCGAGGATTCTCAAGAAAGAGGGCGTCGAGTGGATCGCCGCGTTCCCGGCCCAGAGCCTAATCGACGTGTGCGCCAGGGAGGGGATCCGACCCATCCTCACCCGCCAGGAGCGCGCCGGCGTGAACATGGCGGACGGGTACAGCCGCATCAAGAACGGCAACACCATCGGCGTGTTCACAATGCAGACAGGGCCGGGTTCGGAAAATGCTTTCGGCGGCGTCGCCCAGGCGTTCGCCGACTCGGTACCGATTCTGTGCCTACCCGGCGGGCAACCCTTGGACCGGATGGACGTACATCCCAACTTCGAGGCAGTCAAAAACTACGGCGGCATTACCAAGTGGATGGCACTTGTTAACAGTGTCGAACGGATCCCCGAGCTCATGGGCATGGCGTTCAGCCAGCTAAAGCACGGAAGGCTTGGACCAGTGCTGCTCGAACTCCCTCGAGACATAATGATCCAGGAGATACCGGATGCCCTGGTGGACAGCTACAAGCCTGTCAAGCCGTTGAAGTCGGGTGGAAGCCCGGAGGATGTCCGAGATCTCGTGTCCGCGTTGCTCGCCGCGGAGGGCCCAGTCATCAACGCAGGGCAGGGCGTCATGTATGCTGAGGCCACCGACGAGCTGGTCGAGTTCGCCGAGCTGACCAACATCCCGGTCATGACCACGCTCGCCGGAAAGAGCGCTTTCCCGGAGGACCATCCGCTTGCACTCGGTACGGGAGCGTCATCCGGCACCATGATGTGCCAGCACTTCCTGGCCAAGGCGGACTTCATTCTCGGTATGGGCACCAGCTTAACAATCTCCAACTTCAATGCACCGATCCCCGGCGGCGTCACGCTCGGCCACTCGACGAACTGCGCCGAGGATGTCAACAAAGACTATCGCGCTGACTATGGTGCTGTCGGCGACGCCAAGGTCGTCCTCCGGCAGATGATCGACGAGGCAAAGAGCCAGCTCGGCGAGCACGGTCGTGGCGATGTCCACGGGGTCCGCGACGAACTCGCAAAGGTGAAAGCCGACTGGATGGCTGAGTGGTCGCCATCGCTCAACTCCGACGAGGTTCCGATTAGCCCTTATCGCGTGTTCACCGAACTGATGAAGGCAGTTGACGTTCGTGAGACGATCATCACCCACGACTCCGGCTACCCTCGTGAGCAGATAGTTCCGTTCTGGCCTGCGGTCACGCCTCGTAACTACATCGGTTGGGGCAAATCAACCCAGCTCGGTTATGGCCTCGGTCTCGCACTCGGCGCCAAGATGGCTGAGCCGGACAAACAGGTTATCAACATCATGGGCGACGCTGCGTTTGGCATGGCCGGGCTCGACATCGAGACTGCATCACGGTCAGAGATTCCCATCCTGACGGTCGTCCTGAACAACGGTGTCATGACTCACTACTACGATCACATGCCGTTCGCCACTGAGCGCTGGAACCTCAACGCTCTGGGTGGAGAGTATGCCGAAGTAGCACGCGGCTTGGGAGCATACGGCGAAAAGGTGTCCGATCCCGACGAGATCGCCCCGGCGATCCAGCGTGCCCTTGCTGCCAATCGCGAAGGGCAGCCGGCCCTCCTTGAGATGAAATCCAAGGAGGAGGAGAACATCTCCCGCTACTGGCGGTAGTTTGCTGGCTATTTGAACCATGGGGGCGGTCCATGTGGCCGCCCGCTATGGTTTGTATGAGGGCGTGCGTGCTAGTCCGCGGCCTACGAGAAAACACTCAGCCAAAGAGTTGAGGGACCCGTATATGACCCGCGTCGTCCGCAGGCTCGGTTACCCCCATGTCATACTTGGCATAGGATTTGCCGTACTCTTCTTCGGCACTGGCTCCCGCTACGTCTTTGGGCTGGTCCTGGTGCCAATGACAGAGGACCTTGGCGTGAGCCGCTCTACTCTGTCTTCCGCGCTTCTGGCGTTCATGCTCGTGTCTGCCCTCGCGATGCCGGTTATTGGCAGGTTGATCGACCGGCACAGCATCAAGATCGTCATGGCGGTGGGGGCCCTCCTTAGCGCGTCGGCCATCGCCCTCATGGGCGCCGTGACCTCCGCATGGCAACTCTTCGCGCTGTACGGGCTACTGTACGCCGTGGGATTCGCGGCAACCTCAGTTGCGCCTGTCAGCGTGCTCATGAGCCGCTGGTTTCCAAACAACACCGGCCTTGCGTCCAGCGCTGCCATAACTGGCAACGGCACTGGACAGCTCGTAATCATTGCGCTGCTAACCTCATTCCTGACCGATGTCGGTTGGAGGCGAGCCTACTTCATTCTGGGTCTGGCCAACGCCGCAATCGTAGTGCCACTCGTGCTGGCCTTCGTCAGATCGAGTCAACCTTCGCAGGTCGAGCGATCTCGCTCGGGCGCCGTCGGCCACGGAGACTCCTTCAGGAAGTCTGTCTTGGTAGCGCGCGATTTCTGGCTCGTGACAGCCATGTATGCCATCTGTGGTTTCCAGGACTTCTTCGTCGCGACGCACATCGTTGCATTTGCTCAGGACAGAGGCGTGAGCGACTTTCTGGCAGGCAACATACTGGCGTTCATGGGTCTCGCGGGCCTGGTGGGAGTCCTGCTGTCAGGGGCCTTGGCCGATAGGTACGGCGCGTCCCGCCCCACACTTATCTGTTTCGTGCTGAGGATTGGCCTGTTCGCTTATGTAGTGTTCATGCAGGACACCGTCAGCATAGCTGCGTCCGCACTTGTATATGGATTCACGTTCACGATGACCGCGCCGCTAACAGTCGTGTTCGCACGCAACATCTTCGGGACGGCCAGATTGGGAAGCGTCAGCGGTCTGATCAACATGGTTCACCAGATCGCCGGTGGGTTAGGGGCACTGGTTGGAGCGCTGATTTTCGACGCTACCGGCAGCTACACCGGGGCCTTTGTATTGATGTTCACGCTGTCAGTCCTGGCGGCAGGCTCCACCGCTATGATTCGAGAAGGCCGTTCAACACCAGCGGAGTGCTTTTACCCTGACGGAAATCCTCGAGTCCCATGGCTGAGCACTTGCTGCGTCATCCAAGCTTGTAATGGTATCGCGCCAACGTCAGCAATAAAGTCCGAGCTCCTTGCCTCATCGTGAGTCAACAGAGTGATGTCTACAGGAAGCCCCATCATCACCTGGATGTCATCGGCCGAATGACCTGTGTGCGGATGGTGCGAGCTTGGCGAGCACTTTAAACGGTCAGAAGCAATCAGGAGATCTAGATCGGCAGGGCACTCACTGTCCTTGGCCGATCCAAATACAAACGCAGCTGATCCAGCAGGCAGCTCAAAGCGGTCTCGCATACCTTGAAACGCCTTTCTTCTTGGCCTTCTTTTTGTACTTTATCGGATCCTTTGGAATGGATAGCCCCCATGAACTCACCACAACACAAAACACCCATGCCATTCGCTGCGGCGCGCTCCGGTTTCAAAACCGGGGCCTCCTTAGTATAGGATTCATGCGGAGCAGTAAACGACATGATTGAGTTCTGGGAATTCATTCCTCGCTCGATGACATCTGCAGTCCCAAAGTGTACACGTTAACCAAAAGCACTCTCATCTCTCTTCCATCGATGAGCGATAGAGCGAAGATAATGTCACGCGTTCTTTGAAATGTAGCGACCTTCCTGTGCTCTCTGAGCACTTTCTCAAAGAAAGTGATCGTGGAAGGTTCGACTTTCCAGTTGTTGCTCATGCCGCTTTAACCCCTACCCCAATCCTGAACGCCGTTGGAAAGCGGAACCCTTCCGTGGTCTCATAGCATAAGTTCAAAGGCTTTCGGCATGTATGACGAAGGAGAAGGCATCGGTCGTAGCGGAGAGAGTGCGGAGAAAGGGCCCATCTGATTTCCGTCACTTGACGACTGTTGACCCATTATTGCCATTTGTGCTACCAGTATGGTTGTTGGACTATGTGTCACTAGTTCTGGTAGGCCAGAATCGCCCTGTTGCTATACTGGATTTCCGTTTGCTTCGATTGATCGACCAACATCTTCCAACCGATCTATCTCTGAACCCGATAAGTTTCTGTATAAACCTTGTTGCCATGTCCTTCACGCTAGAAATTCCGACGACATCTAGGGACTGAGCACCCGTGCCTCGTGGCTGTTGTTTCCCATCCATGAGAGTGTCGGTGAAAGCGGCTAGGTCACTTGTCGACTAGGTCGTGGTGCGTAGGACACAGGAGGATTCGATTATTGAACCCCCCAACCCACCACACACCACCACCACACCCAAACTTCTGGTAATTGATTAGCGGAGTCGGAGGGGGGAGGAGGTTCAGATTGAGCGGGCGTGGACAGGCTCGGCGCTGAACACACCGCACAGACCATCCACCACCGGCTGACCACCACCATTCCTATACAGGGTCCTGATTACACTGGTGAACGCACTGAACGCATCCGCACCAGCTTCATTCCTGGAGCAGTGCGAGACCTTCCTCGCTATCACAGCTCCACGCAGCGCCCGCTCCGCTCTGTTGTTCGTCGGCTCTATCCCAGCACCGTCCAGAAAACGCAGCAGATTCCCACGATCGTCCTGCCAGCCAAGCTCGTTCTGCAACCTCAAGTTGTCGCGATCAGGCATCGGACGGTCTCTGAGATGATGGCTCACCTCTCGTCTCAACCGCTCCTTCTCCCCAGCATAGTCCGCCATCTCTCCACGACGTTCTGACTCACGCAGTTCCATCGCCTCTCTGAGAAGCTCGCTCAGCCGCTTACCGAAGCTGCGCCCTCTGCCCACCTTGGTCTGGACCACCTCACTGATCGAGCGCAGCACGTGAGCCAGACACTTCTGCTGTCTCACTCCCGACAGAGCCCGCGCATCGTAGCTTCGAGCTCGGTCGGTCACCATCACTCCCGCATAGTCGCCCGGAACAACCTCCCTGACCTCCTCGTTGCGGTGACGACCGCGCACCTGGTACACAGTGGCATCATCGGTCTCGAACGCCATCAGAAAGGCACCCTCTCCGCCAACTCGCCAGCCTGTGTCGTCAGTGTGGACCACCGCGCTCTCACGCACAGACTCCCGAAGCCTCTGGTACGCATCTCCCACAGCGCCCCTCGCTCGTCGCAGAGCGTCCTGCGTGATCGCGCTCTGGCTCAACTCAACTCCGGTCAGCGCTCTGAGCACGACGGGAACCCTCCGCACCGGTATGCCCACTCCATAGTGGAGCATGTGAGCCGCAGCCATCACTCGTCTTCCCACCCGATGGGCGCTCGCACCGTACTGGTCAGGTCCAACGTCCCGATGACGCCCTCGCACACGCCTGCCGCACGACACGCATCGGCATACCTGCACCCGGTACTCTGTCACCTGCGGTCTGGGCATCGGGGGAATGTCGGTCACGTACGCAAGGCTCTCTCCCTCATGTTCGAGTATGCCTCCACATCCGGGGCAGCTTTCCGCTGAAACCGCAACGTCAACAGGCGGTGCTGTCAGTTCGTCCACCGCCGGCGGCTTTCGGTAGCTGAAGTTCCCCGTACCCGGCTTTCGACCCGGACGCCTCGGCTTTGAGACCCGCTCGCCCTTGGAGAATGGCGCTGCCTGGCGCTTGCCCGCTCGCTGGGCTGCGGCGAGCTGCTTGCGAAGCTCCTTGATCGTCGTCGTCAGACGCGCGACCTGGCCTTGCAAGCGGTCGACCTTGCCGATCAGGTCGTCGTGTTCACAGGGAGGGCGGTCTTTGTCGGTACACATGGCCGAAGTATAAGAACATGACCTGCCGACTGCAATCTCACCAACCACTACCGCTAATCAATTACATAAAACAAACGTTGCAGATACGTAAAGCAAGCTCAGGGCGGCGTAGGGTTAGCCCACATTACTAAGGGCAAGTTTGTAGACTCTTTCGTACCCCTCCCGCCCCTCCCAGAGCAGCACCGAATCGTGGCTGAGATCGAGAAGCAGTTCACACGGTTGGATGCATCCGTCGATGGACTGAAGCGAGCCCAAGCCAACCTGAAGCGTTACCGGGCGAGCGTCCTGAAAGCCGCCTGCGAGGGCAAGCTGGTCCCCACCGAGGCGGAGCTTGCCCGAGCCGAGGGTCGTGACTACGAATCCGCAGAGCGACTCCTCGAACGGATTCTCGCTGAGCGCCGAGCTCAGTGGGAGTCGCAGGAGAAGCGCCGTGGCAAGTACAAAGAGCCTGTCACGCCGGACAGGTCCGATCTGCCAGGCCTGCCCAAAAGGTGGACTTGGGCCACTATTGGACAGCTTTCATCTCGCATTCAGTATGGTACGTCGGCCAAGGCTAGTGCTGACGCTTCAGGCACTCCTGTCATTCGCATGGGTAATATCCAAGAGGGTGATCTTGACCTTTCGGACCTGAAGTATCTCCCGAGACAACACCCTGAAACTCAGAAGACGCTACTCGCTCCGGGCGATTTGCTATTCAACAGAACTAACAGCTCTGAACTTGTGGGAAAGAGTGCGGTCTACAAAGATAGCCATACAACCGCCAGTTTCGCATCCTACCTCATACGAGTGATTTTCCTCGACGGACTTTCCCCAGATTACGTCTGTGCATACATCAATTCACAGCATGGTAGGGCGTACATTAGCAGGGTGAAGAGTCAACAAGTGGGGCAGGCCAACGTGAATGGAACCAAGTTAGCCGCCATGCCAATACCGCTACCACCTTGGGCAGAACAGCATCGCATCGTCGCCGAGGTAGAGCGGCACTTATCGGTTATCCAGAATGCCGAAGCTGTAGTAGATGCCAGCCTGAAGCGGGCCAATCGACTACGTCAGAGCATCCTCAAGCAGGCCTTCTCCGGGCAACTTGTTCCCCAGGACCCGGACGACGAACCGGCGTCGGTGCTGTTGGAGCTCATCCGCGCCGAGCGCGCCGTGGCTGAGGCAGCAGCAACAGCCCAGCGTAAGCCAAGGCGTCGCAGGCCGAAGTCGGCGCCCGCAAGTCAGCTCAGCCACTCGGAGCAAACTCCATGACAACATCATCCACCATCGGCCAGAAACTCTGGAACTACTGCAACGTTCTCCGAGACGCGGGCCTATCCTACGGTGACTATCTGGAACAGCTCACCTACCTAATCTTTCTCAAGATGATGCACGAGCGCAGCCAGCCGCCATATACCTTACTGCCTAACTACTTGCCCCCTCCGATCCCCGACGGCTACGACTGGTCCAGCCTGGTTTCGCGTGACGGTGACGACCTGGAGAGTCACTACCGCCGGACCCTGGAAACTCTCGGCAGCCAGCCCGGCACACTGGGCGTCATCTTCAGCAAGGCGCAGAACAGGATCCAGGAACCGGCCATGCTGACGCGGCTGGTCAAGGAGCTAATCGACAGCGAGAACTGGCTCACGCTAAGCGCCGACGTCAAGGGCGACGCCTACGAGTCTCTGCTGGAGCGCAACGCCCAGGACGTCAAGACCGGCGCCGGACAATACTTCACCCCAAGGCCGTTGATCCAGGCCATCGTCGACGCCATGCGTCCCGAATCGGACACGACCATCTGCGACCCCGCGTGCGGCACCGGCGGATTCCTGCTGGCGGCGCACGACTACATCGTCGCCAACAACCCAAGCATGGACCAGGGCCAGCTCGCACACCTCAGAGACCACGCGCTCCACGGCTGGGAGATTGTGGACAGCGCGGCTAGGCTCGGCGTTATGAACCTGTACCTACACGGAATCGGTGGGGACGAGACCAACATCATCGTCGACGACAGCCTGCGTACCCATCCGGGCGTCAATTTCGATATGGTGCTCACCAACCCGCCGTTCGTAGGAAGTCCAGCGTCACGTTCGTCGGTTCAGACGGAGCTGCTGAGCGTGAGACTCTCGTAGTGGAGCGCCCCGACTTCTGGGCAACGACCAGCAACAAGCAGCTCAACTTCCTTCAGCACGTGCGGACTCTGTTGACGATTCATGGAAGAGCCGCTGTCGTCGTGCCGGACAACGTCCTGTTTGAGGGAGGCGCCGGGGAGACGGTGCGGCGCCAACTGCTGAACGACTGCGACGTTCACACCCTGTTGAGACTGCCCACCGGGATTTTCTACGCCCAGGGGGTCAAGGCCAACGTGCTGTTCTTCGACCGTAAGCCCGCCAGTGAGGCTCCCTGGACACAGGACCTGTGGATATACGACCTGCGCACCAACAAGCACTTCACGCTCAAGGCCAACCCACTGAAACGATCGGACCTGGATGACTTTGTTTCCTGCTTCAACCCTGAAGATCGGCTATCGCGCCAGGAAACTGAGCGGCTCCATCGGTTCGAGTATGACGAGCTGGTCAAGCGAGACAAAGTAAACCTCGACATCTTCTGGCTACGCGACGAGAGCATTGAGGACACGTCCAACCTGCCGCCGCCGGGCATAATCGCCGAGGAGATCCTCGAAGACCTTCGCGCCGCACTGGATCAGTTGGAAGAGATAGCCGCGGACTTTGCATCTGACCCTGTATAGGTCAGAGGTGGTGAATTAGGGTTCGCCCGTACCCAATCCACGGGGTACGGCTGAACCTTGACGCCGTAATCGGCTGTTATACACTTCGACTCAGTTACGCGGCGAATTTACATGTCCAGCTTTAGGCTGGCTGAGGCGGGCAGTCTGAACATGGCAGTCAACACAAGCGAAGTGTCCTGGTGGGATCTCCGTCGGAGCGACTCCGACGACCTCCGCCACAGCCTGCGCATTTCGGTATGGGTACGCTGGTTCGTCGGGATCGCCTGGTTCGTGCAGTTGAACTACCGCGCCGACTTCCTCCACCACGCCTACATACCAAACACCCTGCTTGCGGCATCGCTGCTGGCCCTGAACGGCTATGTCCACTACCGCATCCGGTCGAATCGGATGATTACCTGGCACTGGGCGCTCGCACTCAGCGCGTTGGACGTTGTAACGATCACGTCGGGACTGATTATCTCCGGCGGGTTCAGAAACGAGTTCTACGTGCTGTACTATCCGGCGCTCGCCGCGTTCGCGGTGGTATTCGCGTCGTTCAGGCTCAGCTTCGCCTGGGTCACTGTCACCGCCGTCCTGTACGCCGCGTTAAGCCTGACGCTGTACGAGGGCGTAGACTTCGAGGACAGTTTAGAGAAGGTCCTGTTCATCAGGATCGTTACGATGTACGCGGTAGTCGCGGCGGTCAACCTTATCTTCAGACTGGAGAGGATCAGGAGGAGAGAAGCCGTAGAACGGGAGCGGGAGCTGCAGCGGGAGCGCATCGAACTGTCGCAGACCATCCACGACACGATAGCGCAGTCGGCATACATGATCGGCCTCGGAGTCGAGACCGCGATCGAGCTTGCTGACGACCAGCTTAAAGCTGGACATGTAAAGCCGTCGAACGCCCCCGACGGGGTCAGCGCAGGAGACGAACTTATCGCAAAGCTCCGGGCGACTCACGCGCTGTCGAAGTCGACCATGTGGGAGCTGAGGCATCCCATCGACGCCGGACCCATATTCGAGGGCCGGGAGTTGAGCCGCGTGCTGAGGTCCCACGCCTCAACGTTCACCACGATCACTTCGATCCCCGCGCAGGTGGCTCAGACCGGAAGTGAGCCGCCTCTCTCCACGGTTACACGGGGACTGCTCTTCTCCATAGCACACAACGCGATGACCAACGCCTTCCGGCACTCGCGCGCAGGCAGGGTTCACTATCACACTGGACTACGGCGATGATAGTCTCCGAATGTCCGTGTCCGACGATGGGATCGGCCTTCCCGACAACTACGCCGACCGCGGCCACGGCTTCAGGAACATGAGCACGGACGCTGAACGTATGGGCGGATGGCTCGAAGTAGGGGTGGTTCGCGAACCGCCCCTACACAGCGAGTCCGGACGCGGCACCACGGTAACCTGCACCCGTCCATATGATACCCGCCGCCGCGGGAGGAGGTCCTTAACTTGACGACAACCAGACAGACCAGGGTATTGCTCGTCGACGATCATGAGATAATGAGAGACGGCCTGCGCGAAGTGCTCCAGCGGGCCGGTGATTTCGACGTAGTCGGCCAGGCCGGTGACGGCGCGCCAGCGGTGAGAATCGCGCAGCAGCTCAGGCCCGACGTGGTCATCATGGACGTCATGATGCCGCTGAAAAACGGCATCGACGCCTGTAGGGAGATTACGGAGATGCTGCCGGATACGAGAGTGCTCATCCTGACGGCCGCGGCGGAAGAAGACGCCGTGATGGAGGCCGTCGCCGCGGGCGCGACGGGATACCTCCAGAAGTACTCTGCCAAGGACAAGCTGCTGGGCACGGTCAGGGACGTAGCCGAGGGAGAGTACCGGATTCCGGGAGATGTCATCCGAAGCGTCTTCGCCGGCATTCGTGCCGCCGCCGAGCAGAACAGGAACAGATCGAGAGCTCGAAAGGCTCACACAGCGCGAGCGCGAGATACTCACGCTGTTCGCGCAGGGGCTATCCTACGCCGAGATCGCCCAGGTCAGGAGCAACCAGCCTTTGACTATCAGGAACGCCATCTACGGAATACAGGACAAGCTCGGTATCGAGACCAAGCAGGAGCTGGTTGTCTGGGCAGTCCGCATGGGACTGCTGGACGACTACCAGCTGGGAGTCTCATGATCTCATGAAGCTCGGCAATCCGATTCGCGTCGTCATTGGCGTCTTTCAAATCCGCGCGCTCGGCTCCAGGGTTACCGTTCTCGTAGGGAACGATAGAGCGCTTCTCATCGACGCCGGCATGAAAGGCAGCTCCGGGTTGATCCTCAGTGGGCTTCACGAGCTGGGGCTGTCCGTCGACAGCGTGATCGGCGTGGTCATCACACACTATCATCCCGATCACGCCGGAGGCGTGCGCGAGTTGGTCGCCGACCGCGACATAACGGTGATGGCTCACAGAATCGATGCACGCATCCTGGCCGGCGCCGTGGAGCAGCCCAACCCATTTCAATACAAGCTGATGGCGAGGCTCACCGCGCCCGTAATGGAGAAGGTGAACGGCCCTCCCACACCGATCGACACGGAGCTGGAAGACGGCGACATCATTCCCTTCGACTTTCCCGTACAGGTCGTACACACACCGGGTCACACCGCGGGCAGCATAGCTATCTTCCTACCCGACCAGAAGCTGCTGATAATCGGCGACGCGCTCCAGTACAGGCTGGGCAGGAGACTCACGCCTCCGGCGGCAGCCGTTACACAAGACCCGGAGCAGGCTATGGAGTCGCTGCGCAACCTCCTGAAGCTGGACTTTCACACGATCTGCTTCAGCCACTATCCGCCATTTCGCGGCGGGGCCCGCGCCGCGCTGCGCCAGATGATCGACACTTATTCGCAGTGAGGACCAGGAGACAGCAATGACACAGACGGCCCCGGCCAGCGCCCCCGCCGGCAGAACCATCGTCGATTTCCTCAGAGACGCGGTCAAGGCGCACGGCCCACGGGACGCCCTGCTGTTCAAGCCCGGCTTTCGATACCAGCGCTGGAGCTACGACCGCCTCTGGGCGGAATCGGGACAGGTCGCGACGCTCCTGCAACGACGGGGACTGTCCAAGGGAGACCAGGTTCTCGTCTGGGGTCCGAACTGCCCGCAGTGGGTGCTGATATTCTTCGGCTGCCTGAGAGCGGGCGTGATCGCGGTCCCCCTCGATCTCCGCAGCGCGCCTGACTACGTTGAGCGGGTCATCTCCAGGATCACCCCCAAGCTGGCCTTCACGTCGCGCTATACCCCCAGGGATGACGTGGACATCGGCCTGCCTGAGATTACTTTCGAGAACCTGGAGAGCGAAATATACGAGTTGCCGGAGCCGGAGCATATCGAGATCCAGCCCGACGACCTGGCAGAGGTCATGTTCACCTCGGGAACTACGGGCGATCCCAAAGGCGTGATGCTCACGCACCCGGAACCTGGCCGCCAACATAGAGGGCATAACGCAGTACATCACCTGCAACACGTCCAGCAGACTCCTCTCAATTCTGCCGCTTAGTCACATGTACGAGCAGATGGGCGGCCTGCTGACCGTGCTGCACTTCGGAGCCAGCGTCACCTACCCGACCAGCAGACAGCCGACCGTACTCGCCCGCACGATGCGAGAGCGACAGATCACGACCATGTTGCTCGTCCCGCAGGGACTGGAGCTCCTGATGAACGGGATAGAACGTGAGGTCAGAAGGCAGGGCAAGGGAGCCCTCTGGGACAAGCTGCTTAAGATCGCCGAGCGAACCCCCTACCCGCTCAGACGACGCCTGTTCGGGAGGATACACAAGCAGTTCGGAGGGAAGCTCGACTTCATAGTCTCAGGCGGCGCGGCGCTCGACCCGGAGCTCGGCAGAAAGTGGGAGCTGATGGGAGTCAAGATCGTGCAGGGCTACGGCGCGACCGAGGCATCTCCCGTTATCAGCAACCACACACTGCACGAGCGCAGACCCGACTCAGTTGGCAGACCGCTGCCGAACGTCGAGGTGAAGATTAGCGAGGACGGCGAGATCCTGGTACGAGGGGACAACATCTCACCCGGCTACTGGAACTCCCCCGAACAGACCGCCGCAGCTTTCGACGGCGACTGGTACAGGACCGGCGACATCGGACTCTTCGACGACGACGGCTACCTGCACATCCGGGGCCGCATGAAGGACATGATCGTCCTCCCCAGCGGTCAGAACGTCTATCCAGACGACATCCAGGCGGTACTGAACAGGCATCCGAACGTCACAGACTCTGCCGTTGTCGGACTTCAGCAGGGCTCGTCAGTCGAGGTCCACGCCGCCCTGATTCTCGACGGCGCCAATGATGTTGATCCGATCGTCGCCTGGGCCAACGGGCAGCTGGCCGAGCAGCAACGGGTGAGGGGCTACACAGTATGGCCGGAGGAAGACTTCCCCCGCACTCACACCCTCAAGGTCAAGAAACCACAGCTCATCGAGATGCTGGAGGGGGGAGTCCAGTCCGACGCGCCATCCAGTCCAACGAGCTCTTCCAGCCCGCGTGACGGCAGTCGGGGCCTAGTGGACATAATCGCGGAGGTGGCCGTGCTCGACACCGCGGACATCGCTCCCGACATGACCTTTGGGCGACGACCTCAATCTCGACTCGCTGGGCAGGGTCGAGATGCTATCGGCGATTGAAGTCGACCTGGGCGTGTACCTCGACGAGACCCAGATCGGGCCGGAGACCACGATCAGGCAGGTGCAGGCTATCCTCGATGAGGGCGCGAACAATCCGCCCGTAACGGAGTTCCCGGACTGGGGCATGGGCTGGTGGTGCCGCATGGTGCGGGGGTTCATCCAGCGAGCACTCATGTTCCCGATCCTGAAGCTGCCGTATGGGCTGAAGGTTACCGGACGGGAGAATCTGCAAGACATCGACGGCCCCGTACTGTTCGCGTCGAACCACAGCCTCGGTCTCGACAACCCCTTGATAATCGAGTCCATTCCTCCCCTGTGGCGGAGGAGGCTGGCCATCGCAGGCGCGGCAAGATTGTGGAAGAATCCGGTGTTCTGGGTGCTCAACCCACGACTTGGCAACGGGTTCCCGCTCGCGCAGGACGGCCCGATCAGGCCAAGCCTCGAGAACATGGGAAAGATCATCGACAACGGCTGGTCGGTGTTGATCTATCCGGAGGGTCAGCTAACCATCGGAGGCCCGATCAAGTCGTTCATGAACGGCACAGGCCTGCTCGCAGTGGAGGGACGACTGCCGGTCGTGCCGTTAAGGCTGCATATCAACCGGCTGGGCTCGCCAACACGCTTCCCAATCTTCAAGCGTGGCTCAGTCGAGATACGCTTTGGGCAGCCACTAAGGTTCTGCCCGGCACCGACTACCAAGAGGCGACCAGCGCGATCGAGGCCGCGGTAAAGTCGCTGTGAGGCGCGGAAAAGTGAGGCACAACCTCCATGAAGTCGTGGAGGTCATGGCGAGGCGTTTGGCCACTGATACTGATGATTCACGAGAGTGAACCAGTGGACTTGGAAGGGCGCTCCAAATAGGGAGTCACACGCCTGCCGAAGCGCCCGTCCTGTTTATTCTTACCAGGCTAGCTGGCTTTGCCTATCTTGAACATGGTGGTCCCACAGGTCCCGCACTTCCCACGGGTGGCCGGACGGCCATTCTTCATCGTTACCTGCTCGGCCTCTTCGATCTCTCGAGACTCGCGACACTTCATGCAGTATCCAGTCATTAATTGCCCTCCTGAGAAAAGTATGAATTCGAGCAGCAATAGTATAGGAACTCGGCTTGCTATGCCATAGGCTCCGACAAGAGAAGCTACATCATCTTCTGACGTATGTCCAGTCCATCATTTGAGGGATTATACCCAATAATGCCCGCAGACTCATGATACGACCACAGAAAAACGCAATAAATATAACATCGATAAGTCATATTAACGACAGTTCAACCAGAGCGAGGCTACAGTTACCCAGTCCCATTGTTTCAGCCTATTATGGGGCAGTCCGGATGATCGGACCGCCGAGTGGCAACCGCCATCTAGTCACGCATCCCATAGTGGCCTGTATACTTAGCTAGGTGAAAGTGGAATGTGACGACATTCTCGCCGGCTAACGTGACAGGGAGATACGCGTTCGACTGATGGATGAGGCTATAATCTTCGGAGTCCTCATTCTCGCCCTGGTCCTGTTCGTGACGGCTAAGTGGCGTTACGACGTCGTTGCTCTGCTTTGCCTGCTCATCCTGACAATCGTGGGCATCGTGCCTCCTTGGGAGGCGTTCCAGGGATTCGGACATCCGGCGGTGGTAACCGTGGCCGCCGTTCTGGTCCTGAGCCGCGCCCTCCACGATTCCGGCGTCGTCGACGTGATAGCCGGTTGGTACTCGCGCATCCCCCACTACCTGACCGTTCGAATAGCGTCGTTGTCCGGTCTGACTGCCTTTCTCTCGGCGTTTATGAACAACGTAGGCGCTGTCAGCCTCCTCATGCCCGTGGCGATCCGCGTATCCAACAGGAGCAACCATCCCGCATCCCTCTTCCTCATGCCGCTAGCGTTCGCGTCGCTGCTGGGCGGCATGACCACCCTGATAGGGACGCCACCCAATGTCATCATCTCAAACTTCCGGCAGGAGGAAGTTGGCGTCCACTTCCACATGTTCGACTTCACAATTGTCGGGCTAGCGGTCACTGTGGTCGGCGTGTTGTTCATCGCCCTGGTGGGCTGGCGTCTCATTCCGTACAGGCGGGCCCCGGTCGCCCTGGGTGAAACACTGGACATCGAAGGCTACATGACCGAGGTGCGTGTACCCGACGATTCCAGATTCGTCGGGAAGCTCGTGCGCGACCTCGAGGAGCTGGCCGAGGAGGACGTTGTGATCGCAGGTCTTCTTCGTCGCGGCGTAGTTTACGGCGCGCCATCCAGCTATCAGATCATAGACTCTAACGACATCTTCATCATCGAGGCCGACCCCGGGCAGATCTGGACTTTTATCGACAGGAAACAGGCTTCGAACTTGAGTGGTCTAGCAACATCTCTCGGAAATCGATCAGACGCTCAGTTCGGAAGACGTCTCCACGTTGGAGGCCATCGTCAGCCCGGACAGCCCGGCCGAGGGCAACACAGCCCGGGGACTCCACCTGCACGCGGCTTTCGGTGTGAACCTGCTGGGACTGTCCAGACGGGGGACCAGGCTCGTCCGACGACTCGGCCACATGACATTCCGAGCCGGCGACGTGCTTCTGCTGCAGGGGAGGAAGGACCTTGTGCAAACGGCATTGCCCAGGCTTGGGCTGCTCCCTCTTGCCGAGCGTGAGCTCAGAATTGGACAGCCGCGCCGGCTCGTCTTCCCAGTCGTCGTGTTCGTAGGAGCGGTACTGCTTACGTCCCTCGATATTCTCCCGGTCCATGTATCCTTCACAGCTGCCGTAGTGATTCTCGTAATGAGCCGACTCATCACGTTGCAGTCCGCATACCAGGCCATAGATTGGCCGGTTATCATCCTGCTGGGCGCGATGATCCCGGTTGGCGCAGCGCTGGAGACGACCGGAGGGGCGGCTAGAATCGCTACCACAATTACGGACTTGGGCAGCTCCCTGCCGGCGTGGTCGATTCTTGGAATCGTCCTGGTAACAACCCTGCTGCTATCCGCTGTGATCAACAACGCGGCCGCCGTGATCCTGATGGCCCCCATAGGGGTCGGTGTGGCTGAAACCCTTGGGGCGTCGTCCGACCCGTTCCTGATGGCAACTGCCATAGGCGCATCGTCCGCGTTCCTGTCGCCCATCGGCCACCAGTCCAACACCATAGTCATGGGACCCGGCGGCTACCAGTTCGGAGACTACTGGAGAATGGGCCTCCCACTGGTTTGTCGTAGTCGCTGTTGCCATACCGCTCATCATGTGGGCCTGGCCCTGGGGATCTAGGATGCGAGGTCGCACAGGCGCCAGCGCCGTGCAATCGCCATCACCCCTTGCTAGAATCACAGCCACTATCCGGCGCGTGTTTTTACGACACGCAATAGCACAAGCCCATCCCGTACCGCTGACACCTACTGTGGAGAAGTATCAAATGCCCACAGACCGACTATCCGACAAGATCTACGGGTGCCTCATGGGAGGGCTCATCGGCGACGCGATGGGCGCGCCCACTGAGGGCATGCACTACGAGAAGATCATCGAACAGTACGGACCCGACGGCGTGACCGACTTCGAGGGCGTAGGCACCGACGACACCGCCATTCGTGGACAGCTCATCGACGCCATCTACAAGAGCGACGGCCACCCCACGGTCGACCACTTCGCTCAGTCGTTTACAGACTTCAAGGAACAGAACCGGCACCTGTGGTTCATCCCCGTGCGCAACGCCTTCCACAAGTACGAGCAGGGGCTCGAGCTTCCAGCCTACGCGGGTTGGGGCAACATGCAGAGCTCCTCAACAGCGATGGCCATATCTCCCCTGGGAATCATCAACGCGTGCAATCCTCGGCAGGCGGTGCTGGAGACGCTGGACGTAGCGTCGTTCATCCACCACGGAGGGAACTCAGGCTACTGCCGCGACGCTGCATGTTCGATGGCAGCAGCCGTGGCAGCCGCATTCGACGCGGACGCTACGGTGGAGTCCGTGGTCGATGCCGCGACCCGGTACCTTCTGCCAGTGAGCGCCGTCGCACTCAAACAGGCCATCGCCGCCGAAGCGGTGGACCTGAGGCCGAGAACGTGACTCATACGATCTCTTTCGAGAGCGATACTACGCCAACTACCAGAGGACCGTGCTCGCGGACTCGATGGAGACCATCCCCGCTACCCTGGCGATACTGACCCTCGCCGAAGGCGACCCTGTCCGCGCCATAACGTGGAGCGCCAACTTCGGACGCGACGCAGACACCATCGCCACGATGGTCGGAAGCATAGTCGGCGCGCTGCACGGTGCGTCCGGCCTGCCTTCATCGTGGGTCGCCAAGGTGGAGGCAAATCCAGCCTTCACCTACCAGGACGATACCCAGAAACTGGCCCAGGTCGTCCGCAGTCGCATCGACGAGTCTAAGAAGACAATGGCCGCTGTGGAGTCGCTGGGGTAGAAGTGCGCGCCACGCTCATCGCGCCTTGGATGGCCGGCTCGCCAACTTTCTGGCGCCTTTGACCCCGTTCGCGGAAGCGAATGTGGAGTGGACTATAGGCACCCTCCACCTAGGGTGCTACCTGACTGAAAGTGAGCCTCCCCATTGCTACTTAATGTCCGCGCGGGCAGGTACAATCGAGTGGAAGAAAATGCAGATTCGGTTGACCCTGTCTTGGCCCGAACCTAGAATATGGTCAGCATCCGTGAATGCGTCTCGCGAGGGGGATCAACAATGCCGATCTATGAGTACGTCTGCAACACTTGCAGCCACAGGTTCGATAAGCTGCGGCCTATAAGCCGCATGGACGAGGACGCTCCCTGCCCTATCTGCGAGGGCGATTCCGACAGGAAGCTGTCGGTGTTCTCGGCATTCTCGTCAGACGCTTCAGGCGCGGTTGGCGCCGTTGCGGGCACGGGCGGATGCGGCGGTTGCGGTCCAGGCGGCTGCGCCTGCTCGATGACGGTCTGACGCATGACCACCGTACAGGTCCTCCTGTCCCTGCACATCCTGGCCGCGCTCATCGCGGTCGGGGCCACAGTATCGTACTTCTTCTGGCTGCGCCGAGCGGTGCTGGTACCTGAGTCGAGGTCGTTTACGCTGGAGACCATCAGGCTGCTGGAGCGGCGGATGGTGATGCCAGCCTACGTGATCGTCCTACTGACGGGACTCGGGCTGATCGACCGCGCGGGCTGGGCCTGGTCGACTCCGTGGCTTGAGCTTTCCATTCTGTTCTTCCTCGTGCTCTTGGGTCTCGTGGGATTCCACGCGCGCGTCATCAAGGGCCAGATCGCGCTGACTGAGGACGGCTCAGCAGACTCCTCAGACTACGACAGGGCGCACGCCAGGGGGCGAATCCTCCTGGGGCTGAAGGTAGTCGTGGTGGTCGTGCTGGTCTACCTGATGGTGTTCAAGCCGGCGCTGTGGGATAGCTCCAGCTCCAAACGTCGCGCACTTCAAGAGTCTTCAGCTCCCAAACGGATACTCGCGGACCACGTCGGTTGCAGTGTATCCGGCTCCCAACAGCTTCAGCACGAACTCGACGGTCATGCGGGTGCCCCTGACGGTTGCCTTGCCCTCGCAGATGTTGGGGTCAGTGGATATACGGTGGAAGTCCATGAAATCAAGTCACACCAACGTACGAATAATGGGTCAGGGCGAGTTAGAGAGCGAACAGTTCGCTGAATGAGGTCATGGATGGCCAACTTTTATAACCCGCGACCTGCTTTTCGCCTCTTGTACATAAGCGCCCTTGATGAACGTTAGTCTAACTCGGCGACACTCCTGATTCCAGCATGTTTACGCTACTCGTATGTCCAAGCATCAGAAGACCCTATCACTGAGTGTCCAGCAATACATGCAGACTAGGCTTTTGCTACAAGCCGCTCGGCCGGGCACCGTATCCAGCGTGGGGTAGGAAAAGTGAGGGGATAGAGGCGAAGTAGACACGACACGCCGGGCACTTCGACAAGTGAGGCAAAATCGGCGGCAGTCCAAATGTCGACGTCGTTGGCCACCTGCACCTCTGATTCAACTCAAAGTGAAGCAACTCCAAACCTATGGTGGCGACAAGCTGGGTGTCCGAGGATTGAGTTCATCAATCGGTAGTTAAGCGTAATTGATTAGCGGGGTCGGAGGTGGGATTGCGATAGGCAGGTCAGGTTTTTATACTCTGGCTATGTGCATCGATAAAGACCTCCCTTCCTGTCAACACGGGGAGCTGATCGCCTTGGTCAGCCGACAGCAAGATCAGGTTGCGCGTCTGACGGCGACGATCAAAGAGTTGCGTAAGGAACTCGCCGAGGCCAAGCGAGCGGGAAAGCGCCAGGCAGCCCCGTTCTCCAAGGGTGGGCGAACCGACAGACCCAAACGTCCCGGCCGAAAGCCGGGCATAGGGGAACGTTCAGCTACCGCAAGCCGCCGTCTCCAGATGAGGTCACCGAGCCGCCAGTGGATGTGTCGGTGGCCGACGACAACTGTCCCGGATGTGGAGGAGTGCTCGAGCAGGAGGGAGTGGATGTTGCCTACGTGACCGACATCCCCGCGATGCCCAGACCGCAGGTGACAGAATACCGGGTGCAGGTGTGTCGGTGTCGTGGCTGCGGCAGACGGGTACGAGGACGCCACGCCGAGGTTGGTGCGGACCAGTACGGGGCGAGTGCGCACCGTATGGGTAGAAGAGTGATGGCTGCGGCGCACGTGCTGCACTACGGAGTGGGCATACCGGTGCGGAGGGTTCCCGTCGTGCTCAGAGCGCTGACCGGTGTGGAGTTGAGCCAGGGTGCGATCACCCAGGACGCACTGCGCCGAGCCCAGGGCGCTGTGGGAGATGCGTACCAGAGGCTGCGGGATTCGGTGCGTGCGAGTCGGGTCGTCCACACCGACGACACGGGATGGCGAGTGGGCGGTGAGGGCGCCTTCCTGATGGCGTTCGAGACCGATGAAGCCACGGTGTACCAGGTGCGTGCTCGTCACCGCAACGAAGAGGTGAGAGAGGTGGTGCCGTCGGACTATGGAGGAGTGATGGTGACGGATCGGGGCCGGAGCTACGATGCTCAGGCTCTGTCCGGGTGTGAAACAGCAGAAATGTCTGGCACACGTGCTGCGCTCGATCAGTGAGGTGGTCGAGACCAAGAGGGGTAGAGGACGGACCCCCGATCGGAGTCGAGGGCATGGCTTTGGCAAGCGTCTGAGCGGCCTGCTCAGAGAGGCGATGGAACTGAGGCAGTCATATCGTCGGGGAGAGGCGTCGGACTATGTTGCGGAGACGGAGCGGTTGAGACGAGAGGTGAGCTATCATCTGCGAGACCGCCCGATGCCTGATCGTGACAACGGGAGGCTTCAGAACGAGCTTGGCTGGCACGATGACCGTGGCAACCTGCTGCGGTTTCTGGATGATCCAGGCATAGAGCCGACCAACAACCGTGCAGAGCGAGCGCTGCGCGGGGCGGTGATAGCGCGCAAGGTGTCGCACTGCTCGAAGAACGAAGATGGTGCGGATGCGTTCAGTGCGTTCACCAGTGTAATCAGGACGCTGGCCCGCAACGGTGGCGATCAGCCGCTGGTGGATGGTCTGTGCGGTGTGTTCAGCGGCGCGCCTGTCCACGCCCGCTCCACCTGAACCTCTTCCCCACCTCTACGCCTCCGCTAATCAATTACTAGCGACTCAACAAAACTCGAAGCCATCTTGAACGACCAGACGAAGCCTCTTTGCCAGTCACGAATCGTGATGTCGCCGTCTTGTAAGCGTCCTACGACGCCTCTGACATCGAAGTCGATGCCAAAGCTAGTGATGTCATATGTCGCATTGAGCGATGACTTGTCCTCATCCTCTTCGTTCTCTGTTTCGTCTTGGATGAGGTCATCTACTTGATCATGAATCGAATCGGTCAATTCGGATTGGTTGCTCATTGCGGCCCCTCCAATCTCTCGAACCATTGAATGCGGGTTGTGGATGGTACAGAAGATCTATCCTCGCCAGAGCCATTTAATTTGAAGCGTACCAGTTGCTGTTATGGATTGCACACCTCGTAAATGACCTTGAATCTGTTTCAATTCTGTAGTTGTGGCCAATCGATCATGTTCCGGAGAGCGGGCATCTCGCCCGCTCTCGTTCGGCCAAGACCTGCCGGAAGGCAATTGCCGATTGAGTCACCCACGAAATTGTTACGTTACAGGCTCAATTATTGAACTACTGCGGGTGGTGTAGATCATGGACACTTATTCACTAGAGGGAGGAATGATCGAGGGGCCAAAACGCAGCGGCACGGTTATAGCAAATCCCACACTAGCTTGGCCAACTACGTTATCGGTCGTGAATGCGCTAGTCCACCAGCTGCCTCAGTCGTGGGTCGAGCCTGTCCCGCAGCCAGTCGCCCGTAAAGTTGAGCGACATCACGACCATGAAGATCGCGACCCCAGGCAGCACAGTCGGCCACCACGCCGTTTCCAGGTAGCCCCTGCCCTCGGACACCATGCTGCCCCATGTCGGCGTGGGATGTGGCACGCCAGCGCCAAGGAAGCTGAGAGCGGCTTCAGCGAGGATCAGCGAGCCCACGCTCAGCGTGGCGATCACGACCGCTGTGTTTATCACTCCGGGGAGGATATGGCGAAGTAGGATCCGTATCGTCGAGCATCCCGCCACGCGCGCCAGGTCTACGAAAGGCTGGTTTTTCACCACCAGTGTCTGGCTTCGAATTACACGCACGAACGGGTTCCATGCCAGCGCGACCATCAGGCACAACAGCAGTACAGTGCTCTGGCCGAACAGCAACACGCACACGAGCGCAACCATCAGGAATGGAAGAGCCTGCCAAATGTCCACAATCCTGGTTATTACTTCGTCGATCCAGCCGCCGGAATAGCCGCTAACAATGCCAAGCGTAGTACCTGTTACGAACCCGCTGAGCAGCGCTATTGCAGCCACTATCAGCGATATTCGTGCGCCGTACAACATGCGCGAGAAGACATCTCTGCCAGTGTGGTCGGTCCCGAGGAGGTGTTCCGGACGGACCTCCTCGTTCACAATCAGCACATCGGAAACCATGTTGTCCGGCAGCCAGGGTGGAGGCTGCTGCCGGCTTCGGATGCTGCCGGAGTAGGATCAGTGGTGGCCAGCACCGGCGCAAAGACTCCGCAGAATATGAGCGTGGCCAGTACGGCCATGGGCATCACCGGCCAGCGTCGCAGGAACATCCAGGCGGTTCTGAACTGGCTGACCACCGGCGGGTAGTCCCGCATTCCCAGGAGGTCACGTTCAATCTGGGTCATCTGCATGTTGACTAAGCCCTACTCGTACCGGATGCGTGGATCTATGAGTGCGTATGCGATGTCTGCCAGGAATGCGAAGAACACGTAAATGCCAATGAAGCAGAACACAGTGCCCGCAAGTAGCGGCCAGTCGTTGTCGTAGACCGCCCTGTTGAGTGCGACGATTCCTATTCCGGGCATGGAGAACACTATCTCCACGACCAGCGCACCGTTCAGGTAGTCTGCCAGTAGAACGAACGCAGACGTCAACGGCGGGATGACGGCGTTTCGCAGGCCGTGCTTCAAGATAATCGTCCATGGGCCGACGCCTTTTGCTCGCGCCAGCTTGATGTACTCCGAGTCGAGTATCTCGAGCATCGCCGAGCGAGTCAGTCGCATGATACCGGCAGATGCCGGCCAGCCCAGCACGATGCATGGGAGTACGTAGTACTTTATGTTGCCCCAAGACAGCGCGAATGTACCGTCCTCGGGACCTCCCGACCAGCCGGGCGGGAACCAGTTCAGCAACACTGCGAATATCAGTATCGCCATGACGGCTGTCCAGAACTGTGGGGTCGCCTGACCGAACAGCGCAAATATGCGGCCGATGTAGTCCCAAGGAGTCGCGCGTTTGACCGCCGCCAGAATGCCTATGCTGAGGCCCACGAAAACAGCGAATATCCACGCGCCCGCGGCAAGCCTGAGCGTCATTCCGAGGTGTTCGCGTATTATCTCGCTCACGGGTCTCAGCGACCCCAGAGACTGACCCATGTCGAAATGGCTGAGGTTCCACAGCCAGATCGTGTACTGGAGCGGCAGGGGCTTGTCCAGCCCCATGTGTCTCTTGATCTCCATGATCTGCTCGTCGGTGAGCTCCACCTGTGCATCCCCGATGTACAGGATGGTCGGGTCGGTCCAAGCCGGGTCAGGATGAATATGACCACGGTCGCCCCGATGATGGAGATCAATATAGAGAGGGCTCGTCTGGCTAGAAATCTGCCCATGGATAGGTCGAATCCTCGCTAATCTCAAGTAGCCTGGTGCCGTTGCGGTTAACCGCACGGCTCAAGGATGCCTCTTCCGTGCGGGGACGATTATGACAGTGTTGGAGCGTGGGTTGGGAGGCTTTCGCCTCTCGTCCCACGCTCCGGGCTTACTTGTTTTCTACTGGTTGGCCGGCACTATGTGCTGAGGCCTGCCCCAGAAACCGCCCGCTGTGGAGCGAGAGTTCCACGACTCAACGGTCTCGGGGTTGGCGGCGACTCCACGCGGCGGCTGTACCATACCGCTATAGAGCTGCCAGTAGTAGTAGTAGTCAACCATGTCGAGGTGGAGGTCCTCGCGCGCCTGCTTGTCCCTCTCACCGTTGATGTTTGATGTACATATAGTCGAGGAACTTGCTCTCGAACGCGCAGCCCCAGGCCGGGCGGCTGAACGTGCTGTCAGAAGGCGGCGGAGGCCAGTCGAACGGGTAGTTCGCCGTCTCAACCGAGCAGTTCTTGACCACCGGGAACGCCTGTGTGCGGTCCCTCATGCGAGGCACCACCACGCCGCCGTACTCCTCGGTCAGCAGCTCGGTTCTGACGCCGATCGCCTCCCAGTCAGCGGCGACCGCATCGGCCTGCTCGAGGCAGACATCGCCGGTCTCGCAGGCGTACTTGTTCATCTTGATCTCGAAGCGGATGCCGTTAGAACCCCTCGGGAATCCGGCGATGTCGAGCAAGCGCTCAGCCTCAGCCTTGTCCGTCGGGATCTCCCATGGCCACTCGTAGCTGGGCTCAGCAGCGCCATCGTACTCGCCGTACTCAATCCAGCTTGTGCCCGCACCGAGAACGTCGCTGTCGCCGTACTTCTCGTGCGCGGCCTTGACCATGGCCGCCGTGACCGTGCGGTCAGGACGCCAGCCATGGAACTTGCGGTCCCATCAGCTCAAGGTAGATGGGAGTGCCCAGCCCAGCCTGAAGGACGTCCACGATGCCCTGACGGTCGATTGCGTGGGAAAGCCCCCAGCGTACCAGGCGAGCCTGCTCCATGTCGCTCATCCCAGCGGGATTGTCGCTGTCAGTGTAGTCGCACTTGTCTTCCCAAGGGCAGCCGATCCAGGCGTAGTCCTCTGAGTACACGGGAGACAACCAGGGCTCAAGCGCCTCTTCGGTCTTGGCATTCACGTCAGTCCAGAGGTTGCCGGGCCAGATCGCGCTCAGGGTCATCGTGTCCTTGTCGGACATGGTGGTGATGAACCTGAGGCCCTTGCTCTCAAGCTCTCTGAGCCTTCCGAAGTCAAATCGATCCGATGTCGGCGTCGCCGGTCTGCATCATCGCCATACGAGTGGTGATCTCAGGAGCCTGCACGACGCGGAACTTGCCGATGTGAGGCGGCTCTATCCAGTGGTCGGGAACGGCGTGGACTTCGCCGTGGCTGTTCGGGACCCATTCGCCCATGGTGAATGGTCCAGATCCGATGGGAATCAGCTTGATGGCATCGGAGCCGACGGCATCAAAAGCGTTCTTACTGTCGAGCCTGACCGTGGTGTCGTTGATGTCGAACTCGCTGATGGGTATTCCCCAGAAGATGTCCGTCACCAACGGCGCCTTTACAATGCTCGCATCGTCCGCGGTAGCGGCCAACGTCGTCTCCGGAGTCCTCGCGACGTACCGCATGGCGAGATATAGGGAGATCTGAACGGCAGATGCCGCCAGATTGACACTCTTCAGGGTCCAAACCTACAATTCCGCTGATCTCGCACAATCAGGGAGCGAAACATGTCCCGTCCAATCCTCAAGACGTCACTTTGCGACTACTTGGAGATCGAGTACCCTATCTGTCTTGCCGGAATGGGGGGCCGGTGGACGCCCCCCGAGCTTGTCGCCGCCGTATCCAACGCGGGTGGCCTGGGTGTCATGGGCGGATCGGGTTATACAGGTGGATGAACTTCGGCAGCGCATCCGCAAGGTGCGCGAACTGACCGACAGCCTTTCGGCGTCGATCTCCTTCTGCCAGTGATTACCGGGAGCGTCGAGCGAGACAGCAGGCAGGGACAACGCAGGAATCCGAGCTGGAAGCTGTCCGAAGGCAGTACCCCAGGCACGCCGAGTTGTCGATACTCTCATGGCAGAATTTGGTCTTGACCGCGTCGAGCCGCCACCGCCTCCGAAGGAGACGGGGATCGCACTTGCCAGGAGCCAGGTGGACATGATCCTGGAGGAGGACGTTGACGTCTTCGCTGCCGCGCTGGGTGATCCCGGATGGGTGGTCCCGCAGGCCCACGCCAAGGGAGTGAAGGTAATGGGACTGGCACGGCAGCGTCCGCAACGCGCAGCGCCAGATCGCGGCCTGGAGTGGACATCGTGGTGGCGCACGGGACCGAGGCCGGAGGACATACCGGGCGAATCGCTACGATGCCACTGGTACCGCAGATCGTCGACGCTGTCTCTCCCTAAGCCGGTCGTTGCGGCAGGAGGTATCGCCAACGGACGTGGCATCGCTGCCGCCCTCGCCCTGGGAGCCGAAGGAGCCTGGCTTGGCACAGCGTTTCTCGCTGCCAAGGAGTGCGGCATATACGAGCCTCAGCAGCAGTCCATAATTCGCGGCCGCTCAGAGGACTTCATAATCTCCAAGTCCTATACCGGTAAGACCGCGCGCCAGTATCAGGGGCCGATCGTACAGGCATGGGCCGAGTCAGGTCTGGAACCGCTTGGCATGCCTCTTCAAGGCGTTCTCATGTCAGGGTTCAACCTGGCCGCGGAGAAGGCCGAGCGGTACGATCTGGTATTCAACCCTGCCGGTCAGGGTGCCGGAATGGTCAATGAGGCACGCCCCGCCTCAGACATCATGGCCGATCTGATCGACGAGACCATATCGGTCCTCAACGAGATAAAGGAGCGAGTGACGACCTAGACGATCACTCCCTGCTCACGCAGTGTCGGAAGCTCCTCTGACGACACGCCCAGCATATCGGTAAGAATCTCGTCAGTGTGCTCCGAGTACAGTGGCGCCGCCTCTACCGTGACCGGCGACTTCTCGAGCTTTACAGGGCAGCCGATCATTCGGTAGTCGCCTCTATCCGAGTCCTCCACGGTTACCAGCATTTCTCGCGCTTCCAAGTGTTCGTTCTCCAACACTTCGAGCGGAGTGAACACCGTCCGCACCAGGCCCCGGCGGGCGCCAGCGTCTTGAAAGCCTCCATCTTGGAGCGCTGCATCGTCCACTCCTCGATCACGGCCTGTATCTCGTCAGCGTGCTGTCCCTGGTGTTCGGGCTCCGTGAAGCGTTCGTCAGTCAGAAGGTCCTCGCGTCCGATCAGGCCAGGATCAGTCCAACATCGGCCCCCCGAATATGGATCATCACGTAGTCGTCGGGTCCGCCAGGAGCGCATCTGAACACCTGCGGAACGCCGCTCCATCCCTCGTGCCCGTCCGTCCGCCCCATTCGCCCCTGCCGAGAGGGTGGATCATGCTGATTCGCATGAGATTCAGCACCCCGTCCTGCATCGAGACCTCGACCTTCTGCCCCTCACCGGTCTGGTCTCTCTGTCGGAGCGCAGCCAGAATACCGATCGCCATGTGGAGCCCCGTTCCGGAGTCGCCAGCACCGACTCCTACTGACATCGGCGGTCCGTCCGGGTAACCCGTGACGGCCATTAGTCCCGCAGTCGCCTGTGCAGCTATCTCGTACGACTTGTAATCTGAGTACGGCCCCCATGTGCCGAAACCCTTGATCGTGCGTAGATCACCTGTGGGTTGATCTCCTTGAGTCGTTCGTATCCGAATCCCAGGCGTTCCATCACGCCCTTGGAGAAGTTCTCCAAAACCACGTCGCCCAACTCGACCAGTCTGGTGAATATCTGCTGGCCTCTCTCCGTCTTCAGATTCAGCGTCATTGCTCGCTTGTTTCCGTTGAAGATCGTGTAGTACACGCTGTCCTGATCGGACCGTGCGGCGAGCTCCCAGCGTGTGCTGTCGCCGCCGGTGGTATCTTCGACCTTGATTACATCAGCTCCAAGGAAGCCCAGTAGCTGAGCGCAGGACGGCCCCGCCTGCACCCGACTTAAGTCAACAATCTTCACTCCAACCAGCGCCTTTTCCATCTATAAGCTCCTCTTTTGGCTATCGCGTGATCCTGGATTCTAACATCAGCGTCCGAGAACGGAACCGATGAAGTCGCGCTGACCTCGCGCGAAGTCCGAAGCCCTTGCCTTGGCACGGCCTTCCAGCTGTATCTCCAGCAGTTCCAGAACGCCCGACCCCGTCGCAACGACAATACTGTCCCCCTCCGACGCTGACACTGTTCCGGGCGCAGACTCTACGGACGCGGACGACAAACGCCCTCTCACGAGCTTCAGAGTTCTGCCGCCCCATGTGGTGAAAGTGCCCGGCCACGGCGTGAACGCCCGAATTCGGCGTTCGATGGCCTCCGCGGACTCGCACCAGTTCAATCGACCGTCCTCACGACTCAGCAGCCTCGTTATCGTGGCTTCTTCGTCTTCTTGGACAGAAGGGACGATCTTGCCCTAGTAACGCCCTTTACCAATCCAGCAGATACTCAACCAGGCAGCGGATCAGCACCTAGTCCGAACAGCCGGTGAGTCAGCGTATCTGCGGTCTCATCCCGGCCGATATGCGTCGTCTCCTGCGCCAGCACTGGCCCGGTATCCATGCCTTCATCAAGGAGCATGATGGTCGCACACCCCCGGTTTCGTCCCCATCCAGGATAGTAGAGATGATTGGTGAGGGTCCGCGGTGCCTGGGCAGCAGCGACGGGTGTATGTTCAGGCATCCATGCCTGGGCGTGTTGAGCACGATGCTGGGAAGAAAAAGACCGTAGGCTGCGACTACGATGGCGTCCGGCTCCTAGTCGGCGCGATGAGGGCACAGGCACCCCAACGGGTCCTTTTCAGCAGTTTCACGAGGCCGGCCGAAATCTGTGAAGAGGGCAGGCTGCGCTGCTCAGCGAATTCCTTCACCGGGGACGGCTTAAGCCGTCGTCCTCTCCCAGCTGGTCGGTCCGGCTGAGTGCACACGCCCACTACATCGTGACCCCGATGCAATAGCGCGTCGAGCGTCGGGACCGCAAAATCCGGCGTACCCATGAAGATTATCCTGAGCGTTTGATCGCTCATCGGCAGGAGCCCACCAATTCGGCGAAATCGTGGAAGGTCACACGATCGCCGACTTCGATTCCGAATTCGCTGACCTCTCCCGCGTTGATCTCAAGCACGTACCTGACAGGGCTTCCTGGTCCATAAGTAGGAAGAGACCCGGAAGACGTACCGGCCGCGAGGTGTCGGTATGAAGGTCAGACACACTGCACTCGTGGCCAATCCAAACGAAGTCCAGTGGGATCAGCATCTCTCTCATCCAGAAGCTCGGAACCCTGGTCGATTCGAAGATGAATAGCATGCCCGATGCGTCGGCCAAACTCCCACGGCCTGAAAGTCCGCGACTTCGCTCCTGAGACGTGGCCGCGATCTCAACGTTGAACCTTGCGCCGTCGATTTCGACAGCGGGGCGATCGTTCAATCGGCACTATCCGAGCATGCCACGCAAGATGAGTATTGCCGAGGGATGATGGCAACGTGGAATCAGAGCGACACCGTCATAGCCGCCCGTCTTGACGGTCAGGCAATATGCGACCCCAGGTCGCCCCGTCCCCGCCATGTTCCCTCGGTTCTGGGCCGAAGTCGCTAACGGCCCTGTGGTAACGAAGGTGATCGCGTACCACGTTCCTCAGCACTCCAGTTCCGCGTCCGTGGATTACCGTACACTTGGCACAGTCCGTCGCGGCTGGCACGGCCCGAAACACTCGTCCCAGGTTGACCTGCATCCACGCACGCACTCCTCGCAGGTCCAGTTCGGCGCTCTCCAATGGCGGGGCGAGATCGGTTGTCACGCGAGGTGTGTCGGCGTCGGCTTCTTCTTCCGGCTCGCTGTCCACTCGCGACAACCTGTGAAGATCGACGTTCACGCGCACGCGGCCGATGCTGACTTCAACCTCGTCGCTCTGCCGGTGAAACTCCACTATTCGTCCCGTGAGGTTCATGCCACGGATGAACACCGTGTCGCCTTCCGCGAGTGGGCGCGACACAGGCTGTGGTCGTTGGGTCGGTACAGGCACCGGAATCTCGACCGATGCCAAATCGCGCCGAATCCTCTCTACTCGGTCGAGTGTCGGCGGAGGTCCGCCACCTGCAACCGTTGGCACTGCCCATCGCAACGACGCCTCGGCGCCATCGAGCCGCCGGCTAATCTCACGGAATCGCTGGATGACGCTCCTTCGCGCAGTCTCAATCATGTCGTCTCTGTGACTTACCAGGAAGTCGACCTGTCGCTCTAGCTCCTGCCGCAGTGACTCCGCCTCGGCCTTGGCTACAGCCGTCTGCTCGACGTTCGTCTGAAGTTGCTGCCGCTCCCGCTGAAGCTCGTTCAGCCAGTCCTCGAACAGTAGGTGCTGCGGCTCTATCATGCTCCGCGCTTCGTCCAGGATTTGACTTGGTATTCCCAGACGCTCCGCGACCGCCATCGCATAGCTCCTGCCGGGCGCTCCTATGGTCATCTCGTACGTCGGCCTGAGCGTTTCCGGATCGAGCTGGAAACTCGCGTTCATCATGTCGCCCGACCCGTCTGCGAACGCGGCGACGGTCCTGTGCTGAGTGGTCACAATTGTAGCTGCGCCTTTGTGCGCGAGATGCGAGATCACCGCTTTTGCCAAGGCCGACCCCTCTTCAGGGTCTGTGCTGGTGCCAATCTCATCCAGCAGCACAGCGACTCTGAACTTGCGTGACGCAGGATCTTCACAACATTCTGGATGTGCGATCCGAATGTCGAGACAGAGTCCGATATGCTCTGCTGATCGCCGATGTCGGCGAATACGCCATCGAACACCGGCAGCGCGCTGCCCTCCTCGGCAGGCACACGAAGTCCAGACTGGTGCATCAGCGCCGCCAGCCCCACCGTCTTCATCGCGACCGTCTTACCGCCTGTGTTGGGTCCGGTTATCACGAGCGCCGACCAGTCGGGCCCTATGTGCGCGGTCAGCGGCAGCGTCGCTGTCCAGCAGAGGATGCCTGGCGCGGATCAGCCTCAGGCGCTGTCCGGAGCCGGCCGATGCCGGAGTGACCGCGTCCAGTCGGCGGCTGTATCGGGCGCGGGCGAGCGCGAGGTCCAGCATAGCCGTGGTCCGGTTGGCGCTCCTGATGTCGCCGGCAACGGCGCCGACAAGACTTGAGAGGTCTCGCAGCACACGGTTGACCTCTCGCTCCTCTTCTAGCGCAAGCTCCCGCCACTCGTTGCAGAGTTCAACCGTCGTGAAAGGCTCCACGAAGACCGTCGCCCCGGTGTTCGAAGCGTCATGGACGATCCCGGACACTCGGTGTCGTCTATCGGCCCTCACCGGCACAACGAACCTGTCCCCCCGGACCGAAATGATCGGCTCCTGGAGCGCCTCCCTGCCGGTGTTGGAGTTAATGAACCGTGGGACAGGCTTCGTTAACGTGCTCTGTATGCCGCTCGAACCTGACCGCGCAGCGCCCTGAGAGATGGAGTCGCGTCGTCCGACACGTCTCCGCGGATGTGATTTCGAGCGATATCTGGTCGTTCGCAGCTCCTGAGATCAAGGATCAGCGCCTCTCCGCCATAATGCGAGCTACTCGCTGCGGCTACTGAAATCGAGCTCGCGCCATCGATGCACGTGACAGCGATCGTGGGACGGCACGCAGCTCGACGCCACTCAGAACGACGCCCAGGCGGCCCGTGGCACCGATCCGTTGTGTCGAGGTCCGACGCGAGACTCAGGTCTCGAATCTCTCGAGCAGGGCGCCCGCGTCGGCTTGTCTCGTCCTGGAGTAGACAACTCTCGACTGGCTCAAAGGACGGGCTGTATCTCACCGTACGAGCTTCGTGCTCGATGAAGTCGTCTGATCGGCAAGCCGAGTGCGTATCTCGTCGAAGTCCAGCAGACTCAACGCGGACGCGCGCAACGCAATACTCTTCGACTCGGCAGCTCGCGCACACTCGGACTCAGGCCGTGTATGACTGGTGCACTGGCGCTGCCATTAACTCACACGGCAATTGTAACAGGTGCCATCTGCCGGACAGGTCTCGTCCACGCTGTCAGAGTCGGATACCGGGGCCCTTGCACTCTATCAGCCCATCTACAGCCAGGATCCTGAGAGCGCTGAGGACTGTCCGGCTCAATCCGTCATAGCCGAGGGTTGGGAGGCACCCTGAAGTAATCCTTCGAATAATCTCATCGACGCTCCGGCTACCATCGATTTCCGAGATCATGGCGGCCACGAGCTGACCGCACAAATCCCACACGCGTCTCTTGCGAGCGCTGACGAGCACCGCGCTCCACTGGAACTCCCCTTCAGCAAAGATCGGCCTGCGTTCGACAGCGATGTTTCCGGTCAGACGAGGGGCTGCATCGAGACTTGTGCACGCGTCGAAGTGCGTGGCCCTCTCCAGCCGCTCCGACTCCAGCGCGCGTATCGAGTTTCCGAAGCGTCCGGCAGGGACCCGCGCTCCAGCACCGCGCGCTCGTACCCTCGCACAGACTGTCCGGCAACGGCACGTATGAAAGACGCGCGCGCGCCCTCATCATCCGATGCTCCGAGAATTCGACGACTCTCCCAGAAATACGACTCGACAGTCCTGTTGCTCGCATAGAAAAGGGCAGCCAGTTCCCTGAAGTGGCTGTACTCCTTGTGGTACAGCTCGTGATAGATATCTGCCGCCGGGCTTCGTATGGACGGGTCCCCCCGGGCTGCGTCAATGTAAGCGGCAGCCATAACCGCCGACATCATCGCCAGGTGCACACCTGACGAGAACAGAGGATCGACAAAGCAAGCGGCGTCGCCTACGAGAATCCATCCGTCACCGACCGTCTTACGTGATGTGTACGACCAGTCTTTGACGACAAATGGCCATCCGTGAGGCGCGAACTAGACAGCATTTCTCGGCTGCGAGGGGCAGACCCAAGCTGCCAGCGGAAGTATCCGCCAACTCCGAGCTTCGCGATCCCAGCCGAACCTTGCTGAGAGTCGACTACGACCCCGACACTGCTCAGGTCACCGCACAGCGGGATGTTCCAGACCCAACCATCAGGGTATGACTCGATGAAGATGTTGCTCTCGTTGGGAGAAGGCAGCCTCTCCGACCCCTTGAAGTAGCCATACACTGCCATGTTCCGAAAGCGCTCGTCCCACTGGCGTAGTCCAAGATTTCGGCTGAGCATGGCGGACTGCCCACTCGCATCGACGATCCAGTCAGCATTGATCGTTCCCGCGGACCCGCCATCCGAACGGTAGGTCAGCGACTTTTCGCGTACTGAGTCGACCTCAACGCCAGGGTGACACGTGTACCCTCGCAAAGTTGCAATCGGAATGAGCGCGCGTTGCCAGCGTATATTGTCGAAAGGTGGACGCCGACTTGGTGGGAGTGCGGGTGGAATGGTTGGTTCTTTGAAGTACCAGCTCAGGGTTACGGCTCACGACCCCAGACATGGTTTTGCCCCCACTTCTTTGGGAAGCCTGCCTGCTCAACTGGCCAAGAAAGCCAAAATCTTTCCAGCACGGGCCATCGAGGCGGGCAAGCAACGACTCTCCGAACATGGGGAATGTGGGAAAGCGATCGCGCTCCAACAGGGCTACTTGGAGGACATCGTGCCAAGGAAACGTGGCGGGGTTGGTGCTGCGACCGGGCGACCTCCGATACTGCGGCGTCATAGATTCCGGCTTGTGATGTGACACAAGTTGGCGATACTACTACCGATCGCTGGAGACAAATCTGGATCGGTGTGGCAAAGGTGCTCTCAGTCACGTAGAGCCGTCCTTCGCTGTCCAACTTCACAGATACGGGCGACCAGAACAGCTTTTCAATGTGGGAGGACTCATCGTGTGGATCGTCCGGGTCGTACAGGTCTATGTCAGGTTCGAGATCGGCGCGGGGACCCTCCCCCCCTCACCGAGGCTCATCATTATTCACGTTGAAGAAGATCTTAGCCCACTCCGATTCAGTGGCCTGTCCCCTTAGCAACTGGACAAACTCTCCATCCGGACCGAACACCTGCACTCTCTCGTTTCCCCAGTCGGCGACATAGACCAGTCCACTCACATCAACCGCGACGCTGGAAGGTCTTCTCAATTCGCCGCTGCCCCGCCCCGGAGCTGCCATAGGTCGCAACGTATTCGCCGGACGCTGTAAACCGCTGCACCCTGTCGTTGCCCCAGTCTGCCACATACACGTCGCCGTCAGCCGCCACTGACAGAGACCCCCCCCACCCCCCCCCCCCCCACCCCCCCACCCCAGGAAGATCGAATTCGCCATCGCCTGTTCCGTGTGAGCCGAAGCTGTCTATTGACAGCCCGCTGGCAGTAAACCGCTGGACTCGGTGGTTGTGCGTGTCGGAGACGTATACAGTATGGTTGTCGCCTATAGCTAGGCTCGAAGGTCCATCAAGTTGACCCTCAGCGCTGCCGGTCGTTCCCCAGTTGGTCAGAAAATTGCCGTCAAGGTCGAACACCGAGACTCGGTTGGCGTACTCGTCCGCGATGTAAACTCTTCCCGGAGTCCTCGGAGATCGCAGGCTCGGACGAAACTTGCCTTCACCATCGCCCGCAGCCCCGAAAGTGCCGTAGTACTCGCTGTTGACATCGCACATCGTTACACGCACCCCTCGGTCCACGCCGTCCACCGATCGGTTGACCACGTAGAGTGAGCCCACGCGAAGGGGTTAGCGTGTCCACCGGTGAGTAGAAAGCCCCGACGCCTCCGTCACTGGACAGCTACAGTCAGGCTGTATTCCAATACTTTGGATTGTGTCTGTGCTGCACCGGCTACCAATGCAATTGCCTCCAGGTTCATTTGCCCTTAGGAATCTCTCTGCCCTGTCGAAATGTGTCGACGCCCAATTTTGAGGGGAAGTGCACCTTACCGATCAGGCCCGCTGGAAGTCGTGGGTCGCCGCGGTCAGTCTAAGCATACTGGCTACCTTTTCACGCGAATGATCTCCCATCTCGGCGCGCTTCCTGATTATCCTGCGCGTCTCTTCCGAGATCGCGACGTTGCCCAGGTGCTCGAGACACAGATCGACCAGGTCGTCCGCTGAGGGATCCGGGTCAGCTTCAACTATGGAGTCCACCATCGCACGGACGCCCGGCTTGGTCTCGTCACCTAGCTGTTCGGACGCGAAGTTGATCCTCTCGATCAACGTCCCTGTATCGATCCACTCCACTCCCTGATGCCAGCCCTCTACACTTGGTGGGTTCGTTAGCATCTGGCCCATGAAGTTGGTCTGGAAGTATCTGTCGAGGATTTCCCGTCTCGGCCGGTCGAACTCGCCCGTCAGCCTCAGCACTCCTGTCACGAACTCGGCCGGGCCCTTCACCTTTTCGTACCTGACGTCCTCATCCTTGAAGAAATCTGAGTTGAGCAGCGTCTTCACCATGGCTTCGATGCTGTGGTCGCTATCGAAGTATGCCTGAGACAAGATGTCGATTGCTTCAAGGTTCCTCGGAGGCGTGTACGGCCACGACGGCACCGGTGGCTCATCGGCAATGAAGAAGTGGTACATGTGCCTGGCTATGAATCGCGCGGTCGCTTCCTGCTCGCATATGATCCTGATGATATCTTCACCGTTCAGGTTGCCCGTGCGTCCCAGGAAAGTCTTCTCATCGTCGTCGTGATCGTCCGCCCTGTACTCGAAGTGCCACGAGATGCGGCCATACGGCCAGTCCGAGTCTCGCATGGAGCGCAACACCATGTACTCGGTGTTCCCGAGGGTCCAGCCTGTGAACGCCCTTGCGCACTCCTTGATGTCTTCCTCCGAGTAGTTCCCAACTCCCATAGAGAACAGTTCGAGAAGCTCCCTTCCCCAGTTTTCGTTGATCGATCCCTTGTGGTTGTCCTGGTTGTCCAGCCACACGATCATTGCCGGGTCCTTCGCAAGCTCCAGCAGCAGCGTGTCCAATCGGCCCATGCCGTGGTGTCTGAACATCCTTATCTGGTCGGACAGGGCCTTGCCATGGATCACCTTCGGGTAGCCCGTGGCGAAGATACCGTGCCAGAACAGCGCGACCTTCTCCTGAAGCGGGGCCTTCGTCGTAATCATCCGGTACAGCCAATGAGCAGGGCCGCCCTGAGGAGTCAACATCCCAGACTGTTCGAAGTGAAAGCGCCTGGCGAGAAACACCTCCGGCCACCCCGACTCCGAGGGATTGATGAGCTCGTCAACAGCGGCCTCGTAGCCTCTCTCAGTCCATGCGTCGATCTCATCCCGTGTTCCACCGAAAGCTGCCCGCCGAAGAAGGTGAGCGATCAGACCGGTGTCTGTCCTTGTGCTTACTACCATCGTACTACCTCGCTTTTCGGAATTGGCTGGGTTTAGGAGAGATTATTGCAGAAGTGGGCGATAGTCAATTGCCTTCCAGATGGTACGCCGAGTGTACGGCCACGACACATAGTGCGGGCATTTGCGGACAAGACAGAGGGAGAGACCAACTTGGCACTGTCGCCTGTCGCACCTCACTCGCGTGAAGCGACAACAATGCAGCGGGCTGTGGTCTCACGCCGTCAGGATTTAAGAAAATATCGTCGCACAGTGACGGGACACGGGGTCTCGTCAAGGTATGGGCGGAACAAACTTGTAATACGCTACCGAGGTCGCATGAAGTAGCCATACAGAACTAAGGGGGTCAGAGAGACATTAATGAGGAGGAAGTTTCGAGTATAGGGGGAGTGGACCAGAGTTGGTCCAGCTTACAAAGATGAACTAGAAGAAGATATCTACACACACGAAAGGAGTGGTATTGATCGAAAGAAGCCCGATGAATACGTTCGATACAAGCGATAGCAGCAGTGTGCATGCTGTGGGCCGGCGTTTGTCGTCAGGGATGGAGGTTGGGGCTTTCTAATACCCGGTGGACATCGCTACCCACTTCTCATGGGCGTCTCTACGTGGTCAACCGATCGGTGGACGGCGTGGACCGAGGGGTGCGTGTAACGATGTGCGATGTCAAACAGCGCGGACTTAAGGGCCACTTTCGGGGCTGCGGGCGATGGTGACGGCCAGTTCGTCCAAGCCTGCGGAATCGACGTGAGGACAAGCCAGGCGAAGAGTTTTGAAATCGCGGATGAGTACGACACCGAGGTCTCGAGTATTGTGTTCGACCTTGACGGCAATTTTCTGACCAATTGGGGAACGACCGGCAGCGCAGAGGGTCAACTTGATGGACCTTCGAGCCTGGCTTTAGGCGACAACGACACTGTATACGTCTCCGACACACACAACCACCGAATCCAGCAGCAGATTTACTTCCAGCGGGCTGTCAATAGACAGCTTCGGCTCGCACGGAACAGGCGATGGCGAATTCGATCTGCCATGGGGTCTGACAGTGGCGGCTGACGGCGACGTGTATGTGGCAGACTGGGGCAACGACAGGGTGCAGCAGTTTACAGCGTCCGGCCGAATACGTTGCGACCTATGGCAGCTCCGGGCGGGGCAGCGGCGAGTTGAGAAGACCTTCCAGCGTCGCAGTTGATGTGAGTGGGCTGGTCTATGTCGCCGACTGGGGAAACGAGAGAGTGCAGGTGTTCGGTCCGGATGGAGAGTTTGTCCAGTTGCTAAGGGGACAGGCCACTGAATCGGAGTGGGCTAAGATCTTCTTCAACGTGAATAAGGAGGAAGCCGCGGCGAGGGTCCGCGCCGATCTCGAACCTGACATAGACCTGTACGACCCGGACGATCCACACGAGGAGTCGTCCCACATTGAAAAGCTGTTCTGTCGCACGTATCTGTTGAAGTTGGAACAGCACGGACGGCACTCTTACGTGACCTGAGAAGCAACCGCCACCGGATCCAGATCTACCAGCGAGCGTCGTAGTAGTCGCCAACTCGTGTCACAAGCCGGTAGCTATGACGCCGCAGTAATCGGAGGCGGCCCGGGCGGCAGCACCACCGCCACGTTGCTTGCACGAAGGGGCCTCCAAGTAGCCCTGTTGGAGCGCGAGCGCGATTCCCACGTCCCCATGTCGGAGAGTCGTTGCTGCCCGCCTCGATGCCCGTGCTGGAAGAGCTGGGCGTTCTTGGCCAGGTCGAGGAGGCAGGCTTCCCAAAGAAGTGGGGGGCAACCCTGGTTTCTTTGGGGGCGGAGGAAGTCCCGAGCCATCTGGAGTATGGGATTCAAAGAGACAAACCTTTCCTACCCGCACGCGTACCAAGTGTGGCGTCCGACCTTC